GATTGACCCGTAAATTATATTCATCAATCGCTCAAACTGGTAGATAGACTGTCCTGGATTGATTCATACTTATTAGTGCTCCTCCAGGCTTGGTCACTAAGTTCAACTCCCACATTCTCAGCTTGTCCATCTTGAGTTCTATACAAGCAGGAGGTCTATACAAAATAGAAGCCCACGGTATTAAAGGGACAGCGGCAGAGAATACAGAACTAGCTGGAAGACAGAGAGCGGAGAGTGGTGGTGAACGGTTGTTTTTCTGACTGGAGAGAAGTGTGCAGTGGTGTCCCCCAGGGATCAGTATTGGGGACACTGTTGTTTTTGATCCATATAAATGACCTGGACTTGGGTATAGGGAGTACAATTTCTAAGTTTGCAGATGATATTAAGCTAGGAAAAGTAGTAAACAGTGAGGAGGTTAGTAGCAGACTGCAAGAGGACATAGACAGACTGGTAAAGACAGAGCTATGGGGAGAAAGTAGGGGAATGGGATTAAATTGGAAGTTCATTTCAAAGAACCGGCACAGACACAATGGGCTGAATAGTCTCCTTCTGTGCTGTATAATTCTGTGATTCTATGAAAGGGTTTGTGGTGTCCTTGAACTGTTTGCCAGGTTGGATTGAATGTCACTGTGGTATGGTCATTGTTGGCAATGGTTCAGTTATTTCCACTTGCTGAACAGTGTCAGGATCACTGACCAGTCTAGCAAAGGGACTTAGTTTTGCTGTGTGACATCCAATAGTTACTCAGTGATACATAACCAATTAATAATGATGCATACATGATGTAGAAGGGAATAGGCAGCAAGAACAACGACTTACATTTGTATAGCACTTCCCACCCTCCCTCACAAACACACAGGGTAGCGTCCCAGAGCGCTAAGATAGGAGAGGTATAGGAGAGAGGAATGAGAGGGGACTAGAGAGGGGGAGGGGAATAGAGAGGTGTGGGAGCGGGCCATAGCGGGGGCTATAGTACAGCACCCAAACTGTGATACAGAATACAGACTAGGGCTCAGATTATGAAATAGTAGGAACGTAGTTTTGTAGTACAGAAGTTGGCTACTCTAAAGAGGTGAGATGAACGATTTTAAAAATAGCTCTCTTAACCTTTCCACTACTGAGTAAATAGAATACTGAATAAAGATCCCACTGCATATTCGAAAAGAGAAGGGAGTTTCTCCCAGTGTCTTGGCCGACAATCCCTCAAATAAAATTGGTCACTGATTCTATTGCTGTTTGAGGGACATTGGGTATAAATTGGCTGCCTTGTTTCACCTACAAAATACACAGGTACATCACTCTACCGTGTATCCTGTGAAGTGCTTTATGGTGCCTCAATGACATGTTATGGTGCTGTATGAAATGCAAGAGTTATTGGTATTATTATTCATCCCATTGTGTCCTGTTCAGAAGTTTGAGTGTACAAGCTGCACTTCATAAATATGAGTTCTTAGTCTAGGCTAGTACTCCAGTGCAACGCTGGGGGAGTTTCGGTTGCAAAGTTGGATGCCCCGTTCTTCAGTTAGGACATTGAAACCAAGTTCCATTTGCCTGTTCGGGTGACTATTGAAGATGCCGTAGCATTATTGGAAAAGAGAAGGACGTTTCTCTCAGTGTCCTACCTGGCAAATGATAAAACAAATAAGGAGGGAGGGAGTAGGCGACAGAGTGAGTGCGGTACTCAGCCTACAGGCTGCATTTTGAGGTTCACTCACCCTACATGGCAGAATGAGCTTGAACACACAAGACAAGATCTCAGGCCTTATTAATAACTTGTTGACCAATTTATAAAGTGTTAGTGTGACAGAACTGTAACTAGGGCTGCCCACAGGCGTCCTGCCCACAGGCGCCCTGCCCACAGGCGCTCTGCCCACAGGCGCCCGTGGCCTGAGGTGAGGGAGGGCTACAGACCCTATGGGCATGGGAGAATAATAAGAATTATCATAATAATTGTTAAGTTTGATATTGCACCTTATCACATCATTGAGAAATCTCAAGATGCTTCACAGAATATACTGTAAAGTGAATTGACTGTACACTTTGTTGCCAAAACGTGGCAGCCAATTACACACAGCAGCGTCCCACAAACGCATGTATAGAGTGACCAAATTCTTCTTCTTATCCATAGTGGCTGTGTCGTTTTCATCTCCCGGTCGCCACTCCGCCTATCCCCTTACTCCTCTGGAATCTTCACCTCCTTTGAGCACCTTACCCTCTACCATCGCTCCAACCTTTCCCTCAATATCCTCCTTATTTATTGTCCCCCTCCCAAACCCTCTCCCACCTTCCTCTCAGACATCTCTACCCTCTTATCTTCACTCTCCCTTTGCTCTAAACGCCTCCTCATCCTCGGTGACTTCAACCTGCTTTTCACCCCCTCCTGCTCTATCTCTGCTGACTCTCCTGTTCTCTCCTCTCGCAACCTTTCCCTCTATATCCACTCTGCCACCCAAGTCCATAACTATGGGCTTGACCTGATTACCTAGGACCTCAGCGACTTGGACCTCACCATCACTGATAAAGCCATGTCTGAACCATTACGTCATGTCCCTTAACTCCTCAATTGCTCTCCCCACCGCCATGAAACCCACATCCATTTCCTACTGCCCCTGGAAAAAAATCTCCCCCCCAATTCCCTTCTCAGCTCCCTTGGTGTCATCTGAACTCCTCCCTTTCTGGGCTCTCTCCCACTAAGACCTAACCTCCTTGGTCAATTTCCTCCACAACTTCCTCTCCACCACTGTCAATATTCTTGCTCCCCTCACTTCCCAAACCCATACTACTCACAGAAGTCACCCTGGTACATCAGCCATTTGCTCTCCTTCAAGGCACAGGTGCGTGCCACTGAACACACCTGGCTCAAATCTAACTTAACCATCCATCGGCAGAACTGTCTGGACCTCATCAAAACTTACCGCTCCGTCCTCACCTCCGCAAAATTGTCCATCTACTCCAAGACAATCTTGGAGGCCAAGGACAACCCTAGGCTCCTCTTCTCCATTACCAACCACTCCTCCTCCAACCCTCTCATACTTCGTCCATCCTCTCCTCCAGTGCCAACTGCAAGGTGATGCTGGACTTTCTCAAAACCAAAATCAAGGGGATCCCCTCAGCTACCTCTGCCCTTCCAACTTCTACCCCTCCCCATCTCCCCCTCACACCCCGGGCCCCTACCCATTCCTCCCTCCACACCCCTCTCTCACCACCACTATAACCCTCATCAAACCCACCACCTGCTCCCTTGACCCCATCCTTACCCCTCTCCTTACCTCCCAGCTCCACCTTCTTGCCCCACTACTCACAGACATCATCAACCTGTCCAATGGCACCATTCCCACCCACTTAAAAACATTCCTATCATTAAAAACCCTCCCTGGTTCCATCCCTGCTCTCAATTTCCTGCCCCATCTCAAAACTCCCTTTCCAAGGTCCTGAAACAAGTCGTTACTTCCCAGCTTCGCTCCTTCCTCTCCCGCCAGTCCCTTCACGAACCTCTCCAATCAGCACAGAAACAGCTTTGGTCAAAGTGACAAATTACATTTTGTCCATCTGAGACCAGGGCTGCCTCTGCCTCCTCATCCTCCTTGACCTCTCCGCTGCCTTCAACACTGTTGACCACTCTATCCTCATCCACCGCCTCTCCTCTCACCTCAACCTTCATGGTTCTGTCCTTGACTGGTTCAAATAGTACTCTTACACTGTCTCCACTTCATCTTTACAAATGGCTACTCCTCTAGCTCTCGCACCATCTCGTGCAGCTTTCCTCAGGGCTCTTCCCTTGATCCCCTCCTCTTCAATATCTATATGCTTCTTCTTGGTGACATCATCCACAGTCATAGTGAGGATGTGGGCAGTTAGGCAGGTTAACTTCCACATGTATGCAGAGGACACCCAACTCGATCTCTCTGCCTCCACTCTCGACTCCAGGACCATTGCTGTCCTGACAGACTGCCTGTCGGACATCAAGTCCTGGATGAGGGCAAATTTCCTACAGTGAACAAGCCTGAGGCTCTCCTGATTGGCTCCCATCAGCACCTCCTCACCTCAGGCACTGACAGCAGCACCATCCATGGATGTATATACCACCTCATGGAGCCAGTCCGGAACCTTGACATCTTGTTTGACCCTCAGCAATCCTTTCTATCCCACAATTGTGTCATGATCTGATCTGCCTTCCCCCACCTCCGCACCATTGTCTGCCTCCACTACTACCTCACCCCTCAAGCTGCTGAAACCCTCATCCATCCATTCATGATATCTAGGCTTGGCTATGCAAGCTCCTTGCATGTCGGACTCCCAACTCTTCCCTCCACAAGCTACAGATCATCCAGCACTCTACAGCTCGTGTCCTCTCCACATCAGGCTCCATGACCCCATCATTCCCACCCATGCCTAGCTCCACTGACTCTCCATTCCCAGAGGATAGAGTTCAAAATCACCTTGAGGGCCTTCAAGGCCCTCCATGGCCTGCTGACCCCATATCAACCTGTCTGCTTGCTCCACTCAGCAGTCTCTGGCCTGCTCCATGTCTCCCGCCCGATTCGCTCCACCATCGGTGGCCAGGCCTTCAGCCTTTCTGCCCTCATTCTATGGAACTCCATCCCACATTCCCTTCGACTTGCTTCTTCCCTTGTCTTCTTTAAGGCACATCTCAAAACCCTCCTCTTTGACTGAGCCTTCAGCCACCCTCCTATCCTTCCCGACCCCGAACCCCAGCTCGGGTCCAAAACCCTGACTTTAACCAACATGCGATAGAACTCCCTATAAACAACTAGAGGGGGAGATGAAGGGCTATAGAAGCCCTGAGAGGAGGGAGTGGTACAAACTATGGAAAGCTTTTTGAGGCTTTTGGCTGTGAAGCTTTAGTGAGTGATGGTGCCTTGGGAGGTTCTCCCAATGTGAATGGCGCTATACAATGTAATTTGTGGTTGTTATTGTTGTAGTGTCAGTGCCTGGAGGTTGAGCATTGCTGAGCCCTGACCCCTCTTGCCCTGTTGCAGGAGAAAGTTGAGTACATCTTCCTGATCGTGTTCACAATAGAAGCTGCTCTGAAGATAATTGCGTACGGATTCCTCTTCCACCCTGACGCGTACCTACGCAATGTCTGGAACATCCTGGATTTCATCATTGTCTTTGTCGGGTAAGTCTGGGGCTCAGTTTACTGGGTACTCAATGCCCACCGTTCCCGAATCCCCACCGTTCCCGAATTCCCACCGTTCCCAAATTCTTGAAAGAACAAATTAGCTAGATTTCTCTTTCAAGAACTTACTGACCTGTCTGTCTGTCTGTCTGTCTGTCTGACCGACCAACCAGCCTATTGACTGATTGGCTAAAGACCTGACTGACTATCCACCTCTACAGGTTGTGTACGGTCGCCCTTGAACAGTTGAGTCCATCACCCATGGCGCCCAAGAGTGCTGGCTTCGATGTGAAAGCATTGCGAGCATTCCGAGTGCTGAGACCGTTACGTTTGGTGTCTGGGGTTCCCAGTAAGTACACACTCTGGGCAATCTGTCTGTCTCTGGTGTCATTTGAAAAGATTTTGTTCTCAAGAGAAAGCTCTAAAAATCAATAGGCTGTCAGAAAACAGTGAGTAACTCTTCAGTTAGCAGTGTGAGGACTACTCACCCTGTAACTGTACAGAGTAACAGAGTGGTTGTATAATCAGCAGATTGAAGATTACAACAACAATTTGCATTTATACAGCGTCCTTCATGCGGGTCAGCATCTTGGAGCACTTAGCAGTGTGGAGCCTGATGCCAAGACTGGAGATGTTTGTTGACTCATCGCTCACTATGTCAAAACAGAGTGAGACGACAATAATCGAAGCAAACAGACTACTGGGCCATTTTGCTAAATCGGTTGAGTTTCAATACTCAGACTGTACAAGGCTATTGTCAGGTCACACCTAGACAGTTCCCACACTGTATACAGTTCTACTCACCTAGACATAAGGGTGCTGTCCCCGTACTAAAGGCAGTGCAGATGAGAGCAATGAGGGTGATCCCCAGTATTGGAGAAACAAGTTTCAAGCAATAATAAGCCAAGCAAGGGCTCTTCGGTCTTGAAATAACATGTTTCAGAGAGGACACCGCAGCAATGTGTAACGTTTTACATGGGATTGAAAAAGTAAACTCAATACTTTAGAATGAACCAAACACTGAGATAAAATGACATGGACTTGGAGTTACAAAGGGCAATTTCAGGACAGACACCAGGAAGGTTTCCTTAACCCAGAAGGTAATTAACAAGTAGAATACGTTACCAGGAAGAGTGGTTGAGACGAAAACATTGGACTTGATACTGTGATATGGAAGGGTGAGATCAAATGGGGTGAAGGCCCCTCTGAACCGATCTTGTGCCATTGTGAATAGGGCAAGATTGGGCAGTTGTGAAGGTGAATGGATGAGTATGAAGTTGGGGGTGTGGGTGAGTTGAGTGGTTGTGTCTGTGAAGGGCTGAGTGTGAGGTTGGGGTTGAGTAAAGTTGAGTGCTCATGGCTGTGTGCTCAGGCCTGCAGGTGGTGCTGAACTCCATCATTAAGGCTATGGTGCCCCTCCTGCACATTGCTCTGCTCGTCCTCTTCATGATTATCATCTATGCCATCATTGGCCTCGAGCTCTTCATGGGCAAAATGCACAAAACATGCTACTATACGGGCACAGGTACGTGTGTCTCTCTTTCCCCGTCTTCTCTCTCTCTCTCGGTTTCTTTTCGGCTCTCTCCCTTTCTGTATCTCTTCCTCTCTCTCTGTATCTCAGTTTCTCTTCTCTTTCTCCCTCTCCCACCCTAAATCTCTCTGCTTCTCTCACCTTGTCTGTCTTCACCTCACTTTCTCTGCACCTCACTCTCTCTGCTCTCCTCCCTCTCTCTCTTTATTTCTGCCCTCTCTCTCTTCTCTCTGCTGCTTCTCTATCTCCACCTCTATTCCCTCTCTAGTTCTTTTTCTCTCGGTATCTCTCCTTTTCTCCTCTTACTGTCTCCCTCTCTTTGTCTCCCATTTTCTGCTCTCTCACCATTTCTCTTCCCCTCTCTGTTATCTCTCTCTATCCACCTCTCTAGTCTCTTTCCTCTCTCTCTCTCTCTCCATATCTCTTTCTTTCCCCCTTCACTGTCTCTCTCTTTCTTTATCTTCTGCTTTCTCTGCTCTCTCACCATCTCTCCCTTTCTCTTCCCCTCTCACTCTCTCCCCTTTCTCTCATCTCCCTCTGCCTCTCTCCCCTTGCAATCTCATTGTGTTCACATAGATATTATAGCTGAGGACAGGCCTGCTCCATGTGCTCACACTGGGCACGGGCACCACTGCAATGTGAACAGCACGGAATGCAGGTCAGGGTGGCCGGGGCCCAACAGTGGCATCACCCACTTTGATAACTTTGGCTTTGCAATGCTGACCGTGTATCAGTGTATCACCATGGAGGGCTGGACAGACGTGCTATACTGGGTGAGTCGTTCAAGGTCAGGGCAGCGAGCCTTAATGTGGCTTAGAAATCAGGAACGAAGACATCACTGCAAGATCAGTGCATTGGAGGTTCAAGCCCTAAATTGGGATGTGGGAGGTCCTGTCATTCAATGAGATGTTTAATCTAGATCTTGTTCACTTCAGGTAGACATTAAAGATCCGATGACACGGTTCAACAGAGCAGAGAGTTTCTCCTCTCCTGCCTCCTCTGATTCCACAGTTACCTTCAACTTGGTATCATCTGCAAATATAATGACTTCATATCTAGTCGATGTATCCAGACCTGTCCTGTCTCCTAACTGCAGGTCAATGATGCGATTGGCAATGAATGGCCATGGATTTACTTTGTCAGCCTGATCTTGCTTGGCTCGTTCTTCGTGCTGAACCTGGTGCTCGGGGTGCTGAGTGGGTGAGTGATGGGGCAGTCACTTCACATACCCACCTCCTGCTTTATCCATACGAGCTACCCAGAGTATGTACAGAGTGGGGGAGGAGACACCAGTGGGAGGGAGGGAAGGGGAATGAGAGGAGACACTAGTGGGGTGGGAGGGGAGGGGGAATGCTTGGAGACACTGCTTGTGGGGAGTGGGAATGCTGGAAACCATTAGTGGGGGGAGGGGGAATGCAAGAGCCACTAGTGGGGTGATGAAAGGGGGAATGTTAGAGACACATGGGGGAGGGAAGGGGGATTGCTATTGGGGGGAGGGGGAATGCAAGAGCCACTAGTGGGGGTAGGGAGGGTGTGGGAGTCACTGGGGGAGTGGGAGGGGAGAGGGAATGCAAGGAGACAATGGCGGGAGGCGGAAGTGAGAGGAAATGCTCGGAGTCACTAGTGGGGGGATAGGGGAGGAGAATGCAAGAGCCGCAAGTGGGGGAAGGGAGGAGGAATGTTTGGAGTCACGTGGGGGTGGGGAAGGAGGTGGAATGCTAGGGGACACTAGTGGGGTGAGGGGGAGGCTAGGAGACCCTAGTTGGGGAGGGAGAATGCTAGAAGACACTGGAAGGGGGTGTTAAGGGAGGTGGAATGCTATGAGACACTAATGGTGGGTAGGAGAGGGGGAATGCTAGGAGAGACTAGTGTGTGGAGGGGAAATGTTACATTGTGGAGTTGTGGAGTCCTGTAGCTCAGTGGTTAGAGCACTCGCTTTGCAAGTGAGAGACCTGGCGGGGATGTAGGGAAGTGAGAATGTTAATAGACACTCGTGGTGGGGAGGGGAGTAGGAATGCGAGGAGATGCTAGTGCGGGGAGGGGGAGGGGGATTGCTAGGAGACACCTAGTGGGGAGGGGGAATACTAGGAAACACTAGTGGTGGGGAGGGGAGGGGGAATACTAGGAGACACTAATGGCGAGAGGAGTGAATTTCCTGCCTAAGCTGATTGTGGATGTTTTTCCCCCAGTGAGTTTTCCAAGGAGCGAGAGAAAGCCAAGTCACGTGGAGACTTTCAGAAGCTGAGGGAGAAGCAGCTGTTGGACGAGGATCTGAGGGGCTACCTGGACTGGATCACACAGGCCGAGGACATCGATCTGGATCACATCAAACATGGGGAAGGTATGGGGCACTGGTATTTCTGAGAAATTGGAGCGGGGTGGGAGTTTTAACCACTCTCTATCGGTCTTCAAAACCCGGCTTAAAGCCTACCTCTTCGACATGCATATAGTCCCCTTCCCTTACCCCCTCCCTCTGCTCAGCATCCATATCTGCCTCTGTAATCCACTCTGAGACATTACTCTATGTGAAGGGCGATATATATATAAATGCAAGTTGTTGTGCACACTGATCGCCCACAAAATATAGTTATTGTACTATACAATATCCTGTGAAGCATTTTGAGACAACCTCCCAACGTGAAAGGTGCTTCACCAATTGTAAGGATTGTTAATTATTATTATGATTATTGCACTGAATTCCCTTGTGCGTCCTGCTTTGGAGACCAGATCTTATGCTTTAGTTGGTGAGGCTATAGACCGACCTCTCTCCACACTCTCTCCTTTTTGGCTTAAAATCACAAGATCCCACATAATTTGGGAAAATTATTAAATTCTGCCTTCATTTGAAAGCTTGGTCAGAAACTGTGGAAAAGCCGGTTCCAAATAAAGACTGTGTGGAGGGAGTTGGGTGTGTGGAATTGGGTGTGTAGAGTGTTGGTGAGTTGGGTGTATGGAGTGTTGATGAGTGTGTTAAGCGTTAAGGTGAATGGAAAGTCTCTGGTCAGGTGGCACTGGTGAAGACATACACCAGCTCAGCCTGTTTCTCTCCTGCAACATTCCATGACTGTATTTTATTGGAGTTTGTTGGGTAATTGCCAGACTGGGATAGTTGAAGCTCCAGGCAATTGAACCCGGTCTGGAATAAACTTTTGTCTCCTCTCCATATCCACAGGGATCCTGGCTTCAGACGAGAGTGGCTCGATGGGCTCCCAGGAGCTCTTAGAGATGGAGGGGATGAACATCTGCGCAAGGTTCAGGTAGGTGCTTCAGCCAATCACCATCTGTCTCTCAGTAATGGTCAACCTGCTCTTGGGGTCCTGGGTACTGGAGTGTGTGGGTGTGTGTATGTGTGGGTATGCATGTGTGCGTTTATTTATGTCTGTATCTATGTGTATGTATGTATGTGCGTTTATGCATGTTTGTGTGTCTCTGTGTATATGCATGCATGTGTATGGGTTGGGTGGGGTGTCGGCGCCTCATCATCCTGGGCGACTTTAACCTACACTTCACACCCTCCTGCTCCATCTCCACAGACTTCTCTTCCCTGCTCTCCTCACTCAACCTCTCCTTACACATAAACTCCCCCACTCACAGTCACGGCCACCCACTCGATTTGGTGATCACCCGGGGCCTCAGTGTCTCGGATGTCACTATTACCGACAAGGCCATCTCTGACCACTACTTCATCTCCTTCACCACCTCCACCCCCCTCCCCACCTCCACCAGACCCACCACCATCTTCTACCGCCCTTGGAAGAAGTTACCCCCACAATCCCTAACCGATGCCTTGGAGTCCTCTGAACTCCTCTCCCTCTGGCCTTCAACCCTCACCGACCCCTCTTCTCCTCTCTCCCTCCTCCACAATACCCTCTCCTCCACACTCGATACTCTTGCCCCCATCACTTCCCGCACTGTCTCCTACTCCCGCTCCTCCCCCTGGTACACCACCCACCTCCGCTCACTGAAAAGCCAGGTGCGGGCTGCTGAACGCACCTGTGTCAAATCTGGCCTAACGGTCCACCGACAAATCTGGCTGGACCTCCTCAAAATTTACCGCTCCACTCTAGCCTCGGCCAAGTCGTCCTTCTACTCCAGGATAATCCTGGAGGCGAAGAACAACCCCAGGCTACTGTTTTCCACCACAACCCGACTCCTCCGTCCCCCCCGCCACCCCGCGCAGGTCATCTCCTCCAACCTTCACTGCGAGGAGATGCTGGATTTCCTTGAATCCAAGATCAAGGGAATCCGCTCCGCGGTCACTTCCCCTCCAACTTCCACCCACCACCCACCCCTTCCCTCCCACACTCCGACTCCTACCCATCCTCCCCTACACACCTTCGTACCCGTTTCCCCACCCTCTGTCACTGAACTCATCCTATCCCTAAAACCAACCACCTGCTCCCTTGACCCCATCCCCACTCCACTCCTTATCTCCCAGCTCCACTTTCTTGCCCCACATATCACTGACATCATCAACCTGTCCCTCTCCTCTGGCTCTGTCCCCATTCCATTAAAAACTGCCATCATCACGCCCACCCTGAAAAAACCCTCCCTTGATGCGTCGCAGCTATCAAGCTACCGGCCCATCTCCAACCTCCCCTTTCTCTCCAAGGTCTTGGAAAGAGTTGTCGCCTCCCAACTGCGCTCTTTCCTTTCCACCCATTCTCTTTTCGAACCCCTTCAGTCAGGTTTCCGTGCTGCCCATAGCACAGAAACTGCCCTGGTCAAGGTCACCAATGATATCCTGACCATCTGTGACCAGGGCTCCCTCTGTCTCCTCGTCCTCCTCGACCTATCGGCAGCATTCGATACGGTCGACCACGCTATCCTACTCCACCGCTTGTCCTCCCACCTCAACCTTCAAGGCACTGTCCTTGAATGGTTTAGGTCGTACCTTTCTCACCGTCTTCACTTTGTCTCGACGAATGGCTTCTCCTCCACCCCCCGCACTGTCTCATGTGGTGTCCCTCAGGGCTCTGTCCTCGGTCCCCTCCTCTTCACCCTCTATATGCTCCCCCTTGGTGACATCATCCGCAGACATGGGTTAACTTCCACATGTATGCGGATGACACCCAACTCTACCTTTCCTCCTCTACTCTCAACTCCACGACCACCGATGTCCTGACAGCTGCCTGTCCGACATCGAGTCCTGGACGAGAGACAACTTTCTTCAGCTCAACGTGCGAAAAACCGAGGCCCTCCTGATTGGCTCACGTCAGCGCCTCCGCACCTCAGGCGCTGACACCATCAGCATCCAAGGCTGCACTCTCCACCTCTCAAAGCCAGTCAGGAACCTCGGCGTTTTGTTCGACCCTGAGCTGTCCTTTCTCCCTCACATCCGCACCACAACTGGCACCGCCTTCCATCACCTCCGGAACATCGCCAGACTACGGCACTACCTCACCCCTCACGCTGCTGAAACCCTGGTTCACGCCTTTGTCACCTCAAGGCTGGACTATGGGAACTCTCTCCTCGCCGGCCTTCCCGCCACCTCCCTCCACACTGCAGGTCATTCAGAACTCTGCAGCTCGTGTACTGTCCCGCACCAGACACCGCGCCCACATCACTCCCACCCTCGCTCCCCTCCACTGGCTCCCCATCCCCCAGAGGATTGATTTCAAGATCCTCATCCTCACCTACAAGGCCATTCACGGCCTTGCTCCCTCCTACCTCTCCAACCTACTATCCCCCTACCTACCTGCCCGTACCCTCCGTTCCTCTGGCTCCGGTCTGCTCCACGTCCCCCGCCCCAACCGCCCTACCATCGGTGGTCGGGCCTTCAGCCTCTCAGCCCCAGGCTCTGGAACTCCATCCCCCAGTGCCTTCGCCGCCTCCTCCCTCTCCTCCTTCAAGGCCGGTCTCAAAATCTTTCTCTTTGACCGTGCCTTCAGCTCCCCTCTCGACTCTCTTCCCCCTCCTCGCTCCCTCCCTTCCCTCCCCTCACCCTGACCATTTCCCCCCTCCTCGCTCCCTCCCTTCCCTCCCCTCACCCTGACCATTTCCCCACTCCTCGCTCCCTCCCTTCCCTCCCCTCACCCTGACCATTTCCCCCCTCCTCGCTCCCTCCCTTCCCTCCCCTCACCCTGACCATTTCCCCCCTGCTCGGGTCATGACCCAACTGTGCAGCGCCTTGGGACGTCCTCCTGATGTGAAAGGCGCTTTATAAATGGAATCTTGTTGTTGTTGTTGTTGTTGTTGTGGGTTGGGGGGGTGTCGGCGCTGGGTTGGGGGGTGTCGGCGCTGGGTTGGGGGGTGTCGGCGCTGGGTTGGAGGGGTGTCGGCGCTGGGTTGGGGGGTGTCGGCGCTGGGTTGGGGGGTGTCGGCGCTGGGTTGGGGGGGTGTCGGCGCTGGGTTGGGGGGTGTCGGCACTGGGTTCGTAGATTGTCGGCGCTGGGTTGGGTAGAGTGGCAGCGCTGGGTTGGCTAGAGTGTTAGTGCAGGGTGGCTAAGAGTGTTGGTGCTCTGCTTGATAGAGTGCTGCTGCTGGGTTGGGTAGACTGTTGGTTGTTTGGTTGGAGTGCTCGTGTATTTGGTAGAGTGTTGTTCCCGGGTTGAGTGGAGTGTTGGTGCTCGGTTCGGTAGAGTGTTGGGTTGGATGAAGTATTGGTGCTGTGTTGAGTAGAGTGTCCGTGCTGGCTTGTGTAGACTTTTAGTGCCGGGTTGAGTACAATGTTGGTGTTGGCTTCGTAGCGTGTTCATGCGGGTTGGGTAGATTGTTAGTGCCGGGTTGGCTGGAGGGTCGGTGCCGGGTTGGCTGGAGGGTCGGTGCCGGGTTGGCTGGAGGGTCGGTGCCGGGTTGGCTGGAGGGTCGGTGCCGGGTTGGCTGGAGGGTCGGTGCCGGGTTGGCTGGAGGGTCGGTGCCGGGTTGGCTGGAGGGTCGGTGCCGGGTTGGCTGGAGGGTCGGTGCCGGGTTGGCTGGAGGGTCGGTGCCGGGTTGGCTGGAGGGTCGGTGCCGGGTTGGCTGGAGGGTCGGTGCCGGGTTGGCTGGAGGGTCGGTGCCGGGTTGGCTGGAGGGTCGGTGCCGGGTTGGCTGGAGGGTCGGTGCCGGGTTGGCTGGAGGGTCGGTGCCGGGTTGGCTGGTGGGTCGGTGCCGGGTTGGCTGGAGGGTGGGTGCCGGGTTGGCTGGAGGGTGGGTGCCGGGTTGGCTGGAGGGTCGGTGCCGGGTTGGCTGGAGGATCGGTGCCGGGTTGGCTGGAGGGTGGGTGCCGGGTTGGCTGGAGGGTGGGTGCCGGGTTGGCTGGAGGGTTGGTGCCGGGTTGGCTGGAGGGTTGGTGCCGGGTTGGCTGGAGGGTTGGTGCCGGGTTGGCTGGAGGGTTGGTGCCGGGTTGCTGTTACCCTGTTTCTCTCACTAGTTGGCGCTCCAAGAGGTGGAACCGCTTGTTCAGGAGGAAGTGTAGAGTGGTGGTAAAATCCAACTTCTTTTACTGGCTGGTGATCTTCCTGGTGTTCCTGAACACACTGCTGATCGCTCTGGAGCACCATCGGGAGCCGCAGTGGCTGACACAAATGCAGGGTAAATACCCAGAACACAGCCAATCAGCGCTCCACTGTGACATCCCAAATACAATGCTCCACCAGCACAAGTGCACATCACCTCCACACACCAACACCCCCAGCGTAGCTCCACACACCAACACCCCCAGCGTAGCTCCACACACCACCAACACCCCCAGCGTAGCTCCACACACCACCAACACCCCCAGCGTAGCTCCACACACCACCAACACCCCCAGCGTAGCTCCACACACCAACACCCCCAGCGTAGCTCCACATACCAACACCCCCAGCGTAGCTCCACATACCAACACCCCCAGCGTAGCTCCACACATCACCAACACCCCCAGCGTAGCTCCACACACCACCAACACCCCCAGCGTAGCTCCAGATCACACCAACACACCCCCAGCGTAGCTGCTCCACACAACGCCAACACTGCTCCACGCACCAACGCCAACACTGCTGCACGCACCAATGGCAACACTGCTCCACGCACCAACACTGCTCCACGCACCAACACTGCTCCACGCACCAACACTGCTCCACACACCAACACTGCTCCACGCACCAACGCCAACACTGCTCCATGCACCAACACTGCTCCACGCACCAACACTGCTCCACACACCAACACTGCTCCACGCACCAACACTGCTCCACACACCAACACTGCTCCACGCACCAACACTGCTCCACCCACCAACACTGCTCCACGCACCAACACTGCTCCACACACCAACACTGCTCCACCCACCAACACTGCTCCACCCACCAACACTGCTCCACGCACCAATACTGCTCCACACACCAACACTGCTCCACGCACCAACGCCAACACTGCTCCACGCACCAACACTGCTCCACGCACCAACGCCAACACTGCTCCACACACCAACACTGCTCCACGCACCAACGCCAACACTGCTCCACACACCAACACTGCTCCACCCACCAACACTGCTCCACCCACCAACACTGCTCCACGCACCAACACTGCTCCACACACCAACACTGCTCCACCCACCAACACTGCTCCACCCACCAACACTGCTCCACGGACCAACGCCAACACTGCTCCACGCACCAACACTGCTCCACGCACCAACGCCAACACAGCTCCACAAAACATCAACACCAACAGAGCTCCACAGACGACCACCAAAACACCAACACAAACACAACACCACACGAAGGAACAGGGAGGTCTGGGGGTTCATATAAGTAAATCTTTGAAGGTATTAAGACAGGCAGATAACGTTGTTAAAAAAGCGAACGGGATACTAGGCTTTGTAAATAGGGACATAGGATACAAAAGTCAGAAAGTTATGATAAACCTTTGAAACACTGGTTAGGCCTCAGCGAGAGACTGTGTTCAGTTCTGGGCCCCACACTTTAGGAAGGATGTCAAGGCATTGGAGAGGGAGCAAAGGAGATTGACCAGGATGGTACCAGGAATGAGGGGCTTCAGTGATCAGGAGAGGCAGAGAAGTGAGGATTATTCTCCTTCGAGCAGAGAAGGGTAAGAGAAGACTTAATAGAAGTTTAAAAAATGATGAGGGGATTTGATAGGGTGAAGAAGGAGAAACTATTCCCACTGTCGGGAGGGTCGGTAACCCGAGGGCACTGATTTAAAATAGTTGTTAAAAGAAACGGAGGGGAGGAGAAATGTTTTTAGACAGCGAGTTGTTGGGATATGGAATGCATTGCCTGAAAGGCCGGTGGAAGCGATTCGATAACAGATAACCCTGTTAAAGAAGCAGATAATTATTTGGGGAGAAGTTTGCAGGGCTATGGGGAGAGAGCGGGGGAATGGGATTAAATTGGTAGCTCTATTTGAAGAGCCGGCACAGACAATACACTCCTCCAAATGGACTCCTGTGCTGTATAATTCTATGATTCTATGACAATTAACACAGCTCCAGGCACCAACACAGCTCCACTTGCCCACACACCAACAGCAATGCACTTCCACACACCAACATCAATACAGCTCCACACCACAACACACCAACAACACAGCTCAATACACCAACAACAAAGCTCCACACACCAACAACAAGCTCCATGCACCAACACACCAATATCAGCACAGCTCCACACACCAACACACCCATACCAACAGAGTTCCACACACCAACACCACATCAACACATCAAGAGCAACACCACACCAACCGAACACCACACAAACACAACTACACACCACACCAAAACCAACACAGCTCCACACCAATACCAACACACTCACACCCACCTACCAACATCAACACATTAACAATAACAAGATTACATTTCTATAGCGCCTTTCACACCTATAACAACACAGCTCCACGCCACAACATACCAACACAGCTCCACGCCACAACATACCAACACAGCTCCACTCCACAACATACCAACACAGCTCCACGCCACAACATACCAACACAGCTCGACGCACCAACACAGCTCCACGCACCAACACAGCTCTGCGCACCACACCAATACAGCTTCACACAGCAACACACCAACACCACCACACCAACATCACAGCCACACAGTTCCATGCACTAACACATCAGCAGAGCTCCACATAGCAACACACCAACACCTACGCACAAATATAGCTCCACACCAACACCAAACTACCACAGCTCTACACCACGCCAACAACAAAACACCAACACAGCTCCACACCAATACAGCTTCACACCACACCAGCACACCAACATGGCTCCACACCACAACATACGAACACCAGGACCCCCCCATGTCAACACGTCAACAGCAACACAGCTCCACACACCAACACAGCTCCACGCACCAACACACCAAAATCAACACAGCATGTCACACCAATTCAGCTCCTCACACCAATGCAACTCCACGCACCAGCACATCAACAGCAACACAACCATACCAACACAGCTCCACACACCAACACAGCTCTACACCACAACACACCAACACAGCTCCACACACCAACACAGCTCCACACACCAACATACCAACACCAACACAGCTCTGCACAGAAACACAGCAACACATTACACCAACACACAAATACCACATCAACACAGCTCCACCCACCAACACACCAAGACCAACACAGCTCCACAAAGCAACAGCAATACAGCTCCACATATCAACACATCAACACCAAAACAGCTCAACACACCAACACCAAAACAGCCCCACTCACCAACACAGTTTCGCACAGCAACCCACCAACACAGCCACACACAACACCAATATAGCTCCACACGCCAACACAAAACCACCAACAGTGCTCCACACACCAACACAGCTCCATGCACCAACGCACCAGCATCAACTCACCAGCACCGGCACATGCAGGCACCGGCGCATCCAGGCATCGGCACCCACACTGCCCCATGTAGCCCCAACAGATACCACCCCAACACACACTGCCCCATGCAGCCCCAACACACATCGCCACACGCAGCCCCAACACACACCGCCCAACACATAGCCCCGCACAGACCTGCACAGCCCCGCACAGTTCCACACACCAACACCACAACTCCACACAACAATATTATCAACAACAACTCCACACAACAACACCAACATATCAACGCAGCTCCACAGACCAACACAGCTCCGCACACCAACACCAACATACCAACACCAGCAACACAGTTCCATGCACAAACGCACCAACACACCAACACAGCAGCACAACTCCACACAGCAACACAACAAGACCACTACACCAACACAGCTCCATACACCAATACACCTCCACACACCAACGCCGACACAGCTCCACACGCCAACGCCGCTCCACACGCCAATCCCGACACAGCTGCACATGCCAACACCGACACAGCTCCACACGCCAACACACGCCGATACAGCCCCACGCTCCGAAACAGCCCCACACGCCAACACCAACACATCAACGCAGCTCCACAGATCAGCTCCACAGATCAACACACCAACACACCTCCAAACACCAACATGGCTCCACACACCAACACAGCTCAACTGACCAACATACTAACACCCAACACACCAACACAACTCCATGCACCAACACAGCTCCACACAGCAACACCAACATCATACCTACACAGTTCCGAAACCAACACCACACCAATACAGCTCCACACACCAACACCAACACAACTCCACACAGCTACACACACCAACACAACTCCACACAGCTACACACACCAACACAACTCCACACAGCTACACACACCAACACAGCCCCCCACACCAACACAGCCCCCTCACACTGCCCCCCACACCGCCCCCCCCCACACCGCCCCCCCACACCAACACAGCTCCACAGATCAACACAGCTCCACAGATCAACACAGCTCAACCGACCAACACAACTCCATACACCAACACAGCTCCACACAGCAACACACCAACATCATACCTACACAGTTCCAACACCACACCAACAGAGCTCAACACACCAAACAGTTCCACACACACACCAATACAGCTCCACACACCAACACCGACACACCCACGCCAACACACCCACGCCAACACAGTTCCGCACCAGCACCAACAGTTCCACACCAGCATCAATGCACATCTGGACTAGAACACACCAGCACTAATGCAGGCCCATACTAATATGGCTCGCTGTCTGCTCCATCTGACCTAACCTCACTCTCTCACTGATCCTTCTGTAGATGTGGGCAATAAGGTGCTGCTGGCTCTCTTCACGGTGGAGATGCTGCTGAAGATGTACAGCCTGGGATTCCAGGTTTACTTTGTTTCACTCTTTAACCGCTTCGATTGCTTCGTCGTATGTGGGGGCATCCTGGAGACCATCCTGGTGGAGCTGCAGATAATGTCGCCATTAGGAATCTCCGTCCTGCGCTGTATCCGGCTCCTCCGCATCTTCAAAATTACCAGGTACTGTCACCACGAGATTAAACTCACTGGGTATCGTCATTTTCAATCTACGACTGTTTGTGGGACATTGCTGTGCGCAATTGTCTGCCGCATTCGCCCACAAATATACAGTCAATTCACTTTACAGTATATTGTGTGAAGCGCTTTGGGACGTCTAGAAGACATGAAAAGCGCTATATCAAATGCAAGGATTATTATTATTATTATTCTACAGCTTTATTGAAGGAGCAAAGATGTCCAATAGCCTCCTGCTGTGACAGATTCCTTTGTTGTGTTCTTTTTCTTGTGGGACTTTAGGCCAGTGATGCTGACTTAAGAATAGGGAGCACAAGCACTCCGTGGATGGGAAACAACTTGACAAGTTAGAAGGTGAAAGAGATCAAGGAGTGTTACCTCATTGTTCACTACGTAAAAACAGTCTAAGGCAGCAATAAACAAGGCAGAAAGGGATGCTACATTTCCAAATCAGATGGGTTTAGATCCCCAGATATCAGACTTCGGCCGTGGTTAGAGTATTGCACACAGTTCTTGTCAATATGACATAAGGGGTCTGCCCAGACAGTGCAGAGGAGAGCAACGAGCACGATCCCTGGTGTTAGAGGAATGAGCTTTGAGCAATGGAATTGAAAAAGTAACAATACTTTAGAATGGACCAAGTCAGTAGATCAAGAGGTCATATGTTTAGAATTACAAAAGGGCAATTTCAGAGCCGAGGAAGTGCTAGGAAGTGCTTCTTTACCCAGAGGGTGATTTATCACTGGAACAGGGTTGTTAGAAAAGGTGGTTGAGGCCAGGACACTCGACTCATTTAAAAAGCAGTTTGATGGTGTGATGGGAGGATGTTCGTGCCTTGGGACGTCCTCCCGACGTGAAAGGCACTATACAAATACAATTTGTTGTTGTTGTTAGAGTGGGTGTTCTGGATGATGAGATTAGATGGGCCAAAGGACCTTCTTCATCCAAACTAATCTTGTGCCTTGTTTGAAGTGAAACTATGGAGACAATTTTGCTGTATTTCCAAAGGAATTTCTTATTTAAGAAATCTAAAAATCAGTGCCGATAACTTGCAGAATTAATAACCCTTGCATTTCATATGTCTCAAAGGCTTCACAGGATTTTACTGGAAAGATAGTGATTTATAGTCAAAAGCAACAGTCAATTTATACACAAAGATATCCTATAAACAGCAATGAAATGAATGAAAATTTTTATAACAAAATTTCATTTGTAAAGCGCCTTTGACATCGGGAGGACGTGCCAATGCGCTGAAGAAATGTTTGCTCAACTCTGTTCTAAAAGGCTGACCCTTAATTTTCAGACTGTGACCCCTGGTTATAGATTCTCCCACCGGGGAAACAGACCCTCAGTGTCTACTTTATCAGCCCTTTAAGAATCTTATATGTTTCAATAAGATCCCCCCTAATTCTTCTGTACTCTATAGAGAATACAGCCTTAGTTTATTCAGCCTCTCCTCATAGGTCAGTCCCCTCATCCCAGGAACTAACCGAGTGAATCTACGCTGCACCCCCTCGAGAGCAAGTATGTCCTTTTTTAAATAAGGACCAAAACTGCACACAATACTCTCGGTGCGGTCTCACCAAAGCCCTGTACAGTTGCAGCGAGACTTCCCTACTCTTGTACTCTTTGAGACTGGTGTACAAGGACACCCAAATCCACTAAACACTAACACTATCTAATCTCTTTTTGAGACTGGTGTACAAGGACACCCAAATCCCTCTGAACACTAACACTATTTAATCTCTCCCCCTCTAGAAAATAATCTGTTTTTCTATTTTTTCTACCTAGGTGAATAACTTCACACTTCCCCACATTAAATTCCATCTGCCACCTACTCGCCCACTCCCCTCGCCTGTCTATATCCCGTCGCAATCTTTTTGCATCATCCTCAGAGCTTACTCTCCCACCGAGTTTAGTGTCATCCGGGAATTTAGATACGTTACATTCAATGTCCTCATCGAGATCATTGATGTAAATTGTAAATAGCTGAGGCCCGAGCACTGATCCTTGTGGCACTCCACTAGTCACATTCTGCCAATTCGAGAATGACCCGTTTATCCCTACTCTCTGTTTTCTACCCGTTAGCCACTCTTCAATCTATGCTAATATGTTCCCATTAATCCTGTGGGCCTTAACCTTGTGCAATAGCCTTTTGTGTGGCACTTTGTCAAATGCCTTTTTAAAATCTAAATATACTACATTTACTGGTTCCCCCCTATCTAACCTGCAGATACACCTTCAAAAAACTCTAAAGGATTAGTTAAGCGTGACTTCCCTTTTGTAAAGCCGTGTTGACTCCGCCTAATCTTGTTATGGTCTTCCAGGAATCCCATAACGACATCTTTAATTAAGGACTCAATAATTTTCCCTCCCACTGATGTCAGACTAACTGGTCTACAGACCAGTTCCCCATCTTTTCTCTCCCACTCTTCTTAAATAGTGGTGTTACGTTTGCAATCTTCCAATCAATGGGAACCGTTCCAGAATCCAGAGAATTTTGGAAGATCAAAGACAAGCCATCCACTATCTCAGTAGCCCCCTCTTTATAAACCCTCGGATGTAGGCCATCAGGTCCAGGAGATTTATCAGTTTTAAGACCTGACAATTTACCTATAACAATTTCTTTACTAATATTAATTTCCCCAAGTTGCTCGCTAACATTTTCTTCTTAGTTCCCCTCTATTCTTGATAGTGTCTTCTAAGGCATGGGGTAGCAGTGTTAGGGTGAGGAAGGGCAGAGAGGTAGGAGGGCAACTGAAGGTACGGTCGAAAAGGAGGGGCTTGAGTTGTGCCTTGAAGGAGGCAAGGGAGGAAGCAAGGCAAAGGGATTGTCGGATGGAGTTCCAAAGGGTGGGGACAGAGAGGCTGAAAGCCCGGCCGCCAATGGTAGGGCAGGTTGGGCGGGAGACATGGAGCAGGCGGAACCTGCTCAGCGAAGTGAGCAGACAGGTTGATAGGCGGTTAGCAGATCAGAGAAGTAGTGGGGTGGCAGCCCATGGTGGGCCTTGAAAGTGAGGACGAGGATTTTGAACTCTATCCTCTGAGCGATGGGAAGCCAGTGGAGCCGGAGAGGGTGGGGTTGATGAGGTCACGGGCCTGGTGCAGGAGAGTACACGAGCTGCAGAGTTCTGGATGATCTGCAGCTTGTGGAGGGAAGAGTTGGGGAAGCCGACGAGGAGGGAGTTTCCATAGTCGAGCCGTGAGGTGACCAATGCATGTATGAGGGTTTCGGCATCCTGAGGGGTGACTTAGTGGTGGAGTCAGGCAATGTTGCAGAAGTGGGGGAAGGCAGAGCGGGTCATGGCACAGATATGGGGGAGAAAGGACAGTTGAGGGTCGAACATGGCGCCCAGCTTCCTGACTGGAGTATGCAACCATGTATGCTGAATAGAAGGATGATTTGGAGGAGGCGAGGGCAGAGCAGTGTGTTTTGACGTCATCCAGCCAGAGCTGCTGGTGGACTGTTAGATCAGACTTGAGCCAGGTGTGTTTGGCGGCTGTCACCTGACCCTTGAGGGGAGCAGAGGTGTCTGGTGTATCAGGGTGAGGTTCATGAGTCAGAGGCAGTTCGGGAGGTGAAAGGAGCAAAGGCATCAAGAGTGGTGGAGAGGGAGTTGTAGAGGTGAGTGAACGAGGAGGATAAATCGGTACGGGAGATAAGCCAGAGGGGGAGGAGTTGCGATGACTCCAGGGCAGCAGAGAGGGATTGTGGGGAGATTTTTTTCCAGGGGCGGTAGGAGATGGAGGTGGGTTGGGTGACGGTGGGGAGAGGGATTGAGGAGTTGAAGGAAATGGTGATCGGAGATGGCTTTTCTGTGATTGTGATATCCGAGACACATGGTAATTACCAGGTCGAGTGGGTGGCCATGAACATGGGTGGCAGAGTGGATGTGGAGGGAGAGGCTGGGAGAGGAGAGGAGAGAGGAGAAGTCAGAGGAGATAGAGCAGGAGGGGTGAAGTGAAGGTTGAAGTCGCTGAGGATGAGGAGACGTTCGGAACCGAGGCAGAGGGAAGCTAGTAGGTTGGAGACATCAGAGATGAAGGTGGGGGAGGTTTTGGTAGAGCAGTAAATGAGGAGAATTTTGAGGGAAAGATTGGAGCGATGGTAGAGCGTTAGGTGCTTGAATGAGGGGAATGAGCCAGAGGAGTAAGGGGATACGTAAGTGAGGTCCTGGAGATGAGGGCAATACCACCGCCATGGCAGTGGGTACGTGGGGTATGGTGGAAGGTATAATGGTGTGGCCTCAGTGAGGGGGAAGTTGTTGCCTGGGGCGATCCAGGTTTCAGTTAGAGCCATGATATCGATATTTTCAGCAATGATTGATGGTGAGAGCCTTGTTGCAGAGGTAGCAGACATTTTGTAGGCCGGTGCTGGGGGGACGGTTGCGAGGGGAATGTATCAGATGGGAAGCGATGATGGAGGGATTGGCAGGTAGGATGGGAATGAGGATGAGGGAGGAGAGGTTGGTCCCCAGGGTATGGGCCCAGAGGGGCTTGTGGTGATAGTGGGGAATGGGGCAGTCACTGTGGCTGCTGCTTGACAACCAACAGCGAGTGTCACGGTGAGCCTGATGGAGGATTTCCAGGCCAGAGCAGAGAGAGGTTGTGGGATGGTCAAGTGGGGATAAGACGCGAGGGGGACAGAGAGAGAATGTGACTGACTGAGCTAGGTTAACACCTAAACTCAATCAATTTTTAGAGCAGGTTTTGCTTGTATTGGCTCCCAATCAGATTAATTTAAGAAATCAGATAAAAGAAATACCACAAAACCTTTCAAACTGGTTGTACCTTGGTCTTCTTCTGGCTAGCAATTCTTATGTTCTTATTGATTTCTTAGGATACATCATATAGTTTACAACATAATAACAATAATTATTATAATAATTCTTGAATTTGATAATAGCACTTTATCACGTTTTGAGATGTATCAAAGCACTTCACAGAATATACTGTAAAGTGACTTAACTATACATTTTTTGTGGGTGAAACGCAGCAGCCAATTGCGCAGAGCAGTGTGCCCCAAACAGTTGTGGATTGAAGTCATGAATTGTTTTGTTTTTTTGGAAGGAATTATTACCCCAGAAAAGTGATCCGCCAATCGACTAACAACTGGATTCTTATTTACTACTAGATAAACAGGCATGTGGAGTAAGGAAACTTCCCAAAGTTTTGCCCTGCTGGGAATCAAACCCAAGTCTCTTGCTTGCGAGGCGAGTGCTCTAACCACTGTTACATGACTCCACAACATGTCAAGCAACTGCCAAGATGGTGGAAGGTGAAGGTGATGGACCTTGGTCTTCTTTTGTCTAGCAAATTCTTGTATTGCCTTCTCTCTCCTCCCAGATACTGGACATCCCTGAGTAATCTGGTGGCATCCCTCTTGAACTCCGTGCGCTCCATTGCCTCGCTGCTCCTCCTTCTCTTCCTCTTCATCATCATCTTCTCCTTGCTGGGGATGCAGCTGTTTGGTGGCAAGTTCATCTTTGATGACATGCAGGTGCGGAGGAGTACGTTTGACAACTTCCCTCAGGCTCTCCTCAGTGTCTTCCAGGTCAGTAACAATCTCCACAGTGGCTATTAAACACACAGCTGAGACAGTGGATCCAAGATACTGCTACTGAAAGGCAACCAGCCTGGCTTGTCTATGGCTCTTGGAGGTGCAGACAGGTCATTGGTGGCTGAGATTCTTCCTAAACAGCTCCTGTTATGCAAGCCAAAGCTCTAATGGTACAGTGATCCTAGCGGACAAACCAGACAGTGTTGTCAATGGCAAGCTGTGCATTTGTAGCTGGTTAAACCCTAGGGCACACCCCAACCTTTGGCTCCCATCTGGAAAGTATCTAATACTTTCCAAAATTAGGTAAGCAGGGTACAGGGAGAGAGTGCACATTTCATTCCATACAAAGGAAATTTCTAAGTGTAGGTGGTACTGTCAGGAGTTTGGTTTGGATGCTCTTATGCATGCGTGGTGATGGGTTTTTCGTGTGTCAAATAACTGACTGTCCAAAAAATGGAGAATTGTCGGCCTGCTCTTCAGGTGATCAACAAAGGTAAGCAAATTTCTCCCAGTGTCCTGCAAACAATCCTCCAGATAAATTAGTTATTCAATTAATCACTATATGTAAGACATTAGCTGTGCACAAAGTGTCTGTCCTGTTTGCCTACAAAACCAGTCAGTATATTTAACAGCAATTTCTTGTGAAACGCCTTTAATACTGTTCAACGTTACATTTTTCAACATGTATTTAAAGAATAATTACATGTCCTGTTTTACATTCTAAGACTCAGAAAAGGAAGCAAGAACTTGAATTTTTTTTAAGCTGCTTATCACATTTTGCGCTCTCAAACTCTCAATTGTAGTGACTGTCCTTAGGTAAAGGCAGCAATTATTTCACACACAGCTCGGAATCACAAACAGCTGTGAAGTGAATGACCATTTAATCTGGAGAATTGTCGGCCATAATACAGGTCTCAACATGGAGCTTGAATTTCCTGACCAAAAGGCAAGATGCTACCGAAGTATTGTTCTGCGACACTTTCTGAATCCCACATAGCATTTTATGCTACTGTATATGGTCCCCTTTGAGATATTTTATGCTGGGGCCAAAGCTATGTAAGTGCGGATGTATGTCTGCGCTCTGACCTCTGGCTTCTTGGAGCAGATACTGACCGGAGAAGACTGGAATTCTGTTATGAATAATGGGATCATGGCGTACGGAGGCACATCCTTCCCTGGAGTGCTGGTCTGTATTTACTTCATCATCCTTTTTGTCTGCGGGAACTGTATCCTTTACTAGGGCTGTGTCCCCGCCTTGGAGTGTTTGTGTGGTGGGTGGGGGAGGGGGAGGGAGGGGGTAGGAGGGGGTGCAGTGTGTATGGGGGGGAAGGGTGGCAGTGTGTGTGTGACACCGTTAATGTCCTGGCTAATTGTCTGTCTGACATCAAGTCCTGCACGAGAGCCAACTTCCTCCAGCTCAATGTTAGGAAGACAGGCCCTCCTGCTTGGCTCCCGGCAGAGCCAACTCACCTCAGCCATTGAAACTATCACCATTCATGGCTGCACTCTTCACCTCACTGAGCCAATCCAAAGCATCGGTGTACTTTTCGACCCTCAGCTATCCTTCAAACCCCACATTCGGGCCATGACCCGTTCTGCCTTTCCACACCTCCGCAACATTGCCCGACTGCGACACTGCCTCTCATATCAGGCTCCCAAGACCATGATAGGAACATAGGAATTAGAAGCAGGAGTAGGCTATTCGGCTCCTCGAGCCTGCCCCGCCATTCAATAAGATCTTGGCTGATCTTCTAACCTAACTCCATCTATCCGCCTTATCCTCATATCCCTTAATCCCTCTATCCTTTACAAACCTATCAATCTCAGTCTTGAATATGTTCAAGGACTGAGCATCTACTGCCTTCTGGGGTAGAGAATTCCACAAGTTCACTTATCTTAAGATTGTGATCCCTGGTTATAGATTCTCCTACCAGGGGAAATAGTCTTTCACTGTCTACTCTGTCAAGCCCCATAAAAAGCTTATAGGTTTCCATAAGATTACCCCTAATTCTACTATATTCTAGAGCATATAGGCCTAGTTTACTCAACCTCTCCTCATAGATCAGTCCCCTCATCCCAGGAACTATCCTAGTAAATCTACACTACACTTCCTCTAAGGCAAGTATGTCCTTTCTTAAATAAGGAGACCAAAACTGCACACAATACTCTCGGTGCGGTCTCGCCAAGGCCCTATACAGTTGCAGCAATTCTAACACTTTTGCAATAAATGCCAACATGCCATTAGCCTTCCTAGTTGCTGCTGTACCTGCATACTAACTTTTTGTGACATGTGTACGAGGACACCCAAATACCTCTGAACACTAACACTAACACCACCCTTCTTAAATAGTGGTGTTACATTTGTGATCTTCCAATCAATGGGAACCGTTCTGGAATCCAGAGAATTTTGGAAGACCAAAAGCAAGCCATCCACTATCTCGGCAGTCACCTTTTTTAAAACCCTAGGATGCAGGCCATCAGATCCAGGGGATTTGTCATTTTTCAATCCCAACAGTTTCCCTAATACTAATTCTTTACTGATGTTAATTTCCCTAAATTCCTCACTAACATTAGCTTCTTGGTTCCCCTTTATTTTTGGTAAGTTTTCAGTGTCTTCCAATGTGAAGACAGAAGCAAAGTATTTGTTTAATGACTCTGCCATATCCTTATCCCCCATTATAATTCCTCCTGTCTCTGCCTGTAATGGACCCACATTCACTTTTACTAGTCTTTTCCTCTTAATGTATTTGTAAAAACTCTTGCAGTCTGTCTTTATGTTCCTAGCCAGTTTGCCCTTCTAATCCATTTTCTCCCTCCTAATCAGTTTCTTAGATTTTCTTTGTTGGTCTCTTAAACCTTCCCAATCCTCGGGTTTACTGCTCTTTTTGGCAATATTATAGGCCTCTTCTTTTACTTTTATACTTTATCCCTAACTGCTCTAGTTAGTCATGGTTGAACCACTTTTCCTGTGGTATTTTTATTTTTCAAGGGAACATGTGATCGCTGAGAATTATGTACTATATCTTTAAAGGTTTGCCATTGCTGGTCTACTGTCATATTCTTTAATCTATTCCTCAGTCTATTTTAGCTAAATCCTCTCTCATATCTGCAAAGTTGGCTCTATTTAAATTTAAGACCCTTGCTTTGGACTTAACTACATCACTCTCTAACTTAATGCTAAAGTCCACCATGTTCTGGTCACTCTGCCCTAGAGGAGCCTTAACTTCCAGATTGCTGATTAGCCCTATTTCATTACTCAAAACAAAATCCTGGATAGCCTGTTTCCTGTTTGTTCCTCAGCAAACTGATCTAGAAAACAATCTCTAATGCATTCTATAAACTCCTCTAACTTACTTTTGCCAATTTAGTTTTCCCAGTCTATATGAAGATTAAAATCACTCACTATTAGTGCATTTCCTTTGCTACATGCTCCACTAATTTCCTGGTTAATAATCCGCGCAATACTGTGACTGCTGTTTGGGGGTCTATAAGCTACTCCCACTAGTGTTTTCTGCCCCTTGTTGTTTCGTAATTCCACCCACACTGACTGTACATCCTGATTTTATGATTTAAAATTCTTCTTTTCTACTGTTTTTATCCCATCCTTTATTAGCAGGGCCACCCCCACCTCATTTTCCACGTTGCCTATCTTTCCCATATGCCGAATACCCCGGAATATTTAGCTCCCACCCTTGATCTCCCTGTCTCAGTAATGGCTACTAGATCATACCTGTTTGTTTCTATTTGAGTCATTAATTCATCTATCATATTACAAATGCTTCATGCATTCAGATATAGTGCCTTTAATTTTAACTTTTTGCTATTTCCCCTACTTGCTAAAGCCCTATTTTTTTTTCTGAGCTTCTTGTCCCTCCTTGACACACTGTTTATCTCCCTCGCTAAACTGCTCTACCACTTCATCATTCTTACTTTGGCTGTAGTTGTAGCCTTCCTTCCCCCTCACCCTCAGTAGTTTAAAGTTATGCTTACCTCCTTATTTATTCATTTTTCCAGGCCGTTGGTCCCAGCCCAGTTAGGTAGTGGTGCCTCTGCACCACTCTTTCAGCCACATGTTTGATTCTTTAATGTGTTTGTGCCTGTACCAGTTTGCTTGGCTTGGGCAGCAATCCTCATATTATTACTTTGGAAGATCTACTTTTTAATTTCATTCCTAATTTCTTGACCTCTCTCCTCAGGTCATCCCCACTCGTCCCCGCTAGTCCCTGCTAGTCCCCACTAGTCCTATCTGTATTGTTGGTATCTATGTGGATCACCACAATTAGATCCTCCCCTCCTGCCTTAAATTCTTCTCCAGCCCTGAAGAGACGTTCTTCACCCTGGGCCCAGGAAGGCAACAGAGCCTTTGTGTCCCCTTGTTGCGGCTGCAGAGAAGTGTGTCTGCCCTCCTGACTGTCTCCCCAATTACAACTAAATTCCATCTATCTCCCCCCACTTGTGTGGTCTCCTGTATAGAAGTGTTGGAGTCAGTTTGCTCATCCTCTTCCTCCTCATAGGCTTCCCTGTCCACACAGGTTGCAAGTATCTTGTACCTGTTGGACAAGATTAAAGCCTGGGGCTTCTCCACCACTCTCTCTGGGGTCCCTTTCACTACCTGACTGTCAGTCATCCTGCCCTATCCCCGACGAGTCACGTAATCTATACATTCCCTGAGCCTCAGGGGAGGGACTGGCTCCAAGATGAAACTATCCAGGAAGCTCTCACTTTCCCTAATGCTGCGCAATGTCTGCGCCTCAGATTCCAGCTCAGCTGCTCTGACCTGGAGCTTCCTCAGTTGCAGACACTTACTGCAGATGTAGTCACCCGGGACTCAGGTTGCCCTCCATCAACTCCCATATACTGCAGTCCTCGCCCATCACCTGTCCTGACATTTCCTCCTATCTCTCACTCTGGATTTTAGGGATTTTCCAAAGAAAAGGTTTAAAGTTTTTTAAAAAAGTTTTTTGTTAGTGTTTTTGTTGGTTCTACGCCCCGCCCCTGCCCCTGCCTACCACCGCCCCGCCCTGCCACCCCCCCGCCCTGTGGGGGGATGTGGGGGACAGTGTGTGGATGTGAGGAGGGTTGCAGTGTATATTTTTTTGTGTTGGTGGCGTGGGAAGTGTGTGGTGGGGGGGGGCAGTTTGTGGGGAGGGGTGCACAGTGTGCCCCGTGTTGTATATGCTCTGTGACCTGCTGACTCCATATAAATATGCTCCAGCTGGCTCCATGTAACCCGCCCGGTCCACCCCACCTTCGATGGTCAGGCCTTCAGCCTCTCTTCCCTCAGCCCTTTGGAACTCCATCCCACAGTCCCTTCATCTCGTTCCCTCCCTTGCCCCCTTCAAGGCCGGTCTCAAGAGCCTCCTCTTTGACTGTGCCTTCGGTTACCTTCCTAGCCTCCCTGCCCCCACCCCTCCCGATCCCAACATCCTGCTGAGATCTAAATCCCTGACTGACCAGTGTCTTGGGACTCCTGACTTAAAAGGTGCTGTGTAAATGTAATTTGTATTTGTTGTGGTACGTACTGTGCCCTGTGCGGGCCTTAGCTTGTTGTACGCAGATATCCTGCTAAATGTATTCTTGGCCATCGCTGTGGACAACCTGGCCGATGCAGAGAGTCTGACCTCAGCTCAGAAAGAAGCTGCCGAGGAGAAGTTGAGGAGGAAGTTGGAGAGGTGAGAAATTGGGAGATTGGGAGAGCGACCCAGTATGGGAGAGGAGACAGGGAACATGATATGGGGCAGGGATCGGAAAAAGGGGACAGGGATAATAATAACGATAATAATCTTTGATTTTGATAAAGTACCCGCAGCCCACAATTGGATGTCGTGCTTTCCACCATTGCACCCTGAAACTCTGGAACACTCTCCCTCAATCTCACTGCCTTGCCCCCTCCCTCCTCTTTTTCAAGTCCTGCCTGAAAATCTTACTTTTTGACGGTGCTTATGGTCACCTCCCTCCCACTCCAGCTCGGAGTCAGGCTCCGCCACTCTTAAGTGCTCTGAGACACTTCCCTGTGTGGAGGGCACTATATTGGGTGGGTGCAGGATGTTGTTGTTGTTGAAGGAGGTGAGGGAGGGAGTGAGGTGAAGGGACTGTGAAGGCCAAAGTTTATCTTTGCGATTGTTGGTCAGGTTAGTGGGAAGGCACTCCCTTCTCATTTCAAAAGCTTCCATAGGATGTTAACATCTATCCAAACAGAGAACCTAACAGATAAGACCTTGTTTTAACAACTCTAATAATACAACACAACTCCCAGCACTGCACTAGAGTGTCAGCCAAGATTACCAGCTCAAACCTCTACCATGGGGCTTAAACGCCAGGTTTGGGAGAGGTGAAGGAGAGATGGAGATGGTGCTGTTAGTTGTTTTGATTTACATGTAAGGTGTTTGTTCACTGTTGACCTCTTGGTTTGATTAATCAGGGCTGCCAACCCCAACAAGGCCGAGGAGGACAAACAGCTGCTGCTGAAGAGGCTGGAAATGGCGAAGCTGAAATCCGAGGGAATTCCCACCACAGCACAGGTTCCAACTGAGCAACCCTGGGGCCTGGGCTGGGGTCACAAGGGTGGGGGGGCGGGTGCAGATAGGTATCCAGGTTTGAGGGTACCGACGACGATCGATATATCGGAAGAGGTACGCATTGCAATGAGTATATAAAGGGTGGTTTACACTGTGATAAATAAACAATACAATCAAAATTTATACAGCGCCTTCCATATCGGAAAGATGTACCAAGGCGCTTGGCACCTGGGATAGGAGCTGAAATCCTGGCCCAAGTTGAGGGTGTTACCAACCAAGCCAAGCTGTACATGCTGGAGATTCTCATATCCACTAAGGACAAAGGGGTAGGTTATACCCTGGGATGTATGTATGGGGGAGATACACACTGGGGTGTTTCTACACAGTGATGTTCACATTGACGTGTCTATGAATAAGAACATACAAGGTTCCTGATGCCTGTGCGTTCTTTCCTCCTGTCTCTGGGTGCTGCTCTCAGAGGAGGCTGTGTTACTGAGTAAACAGTGATTTTATTTTCAGCTTAAAGTGGACGAGTTTGAAGCAAATGTGAATGAAGTCAAAGATCCCTACCCATCTGATGACTTCCCAGGTAATTGCCCAGGAGGTTTCCTGGTGGTCAGTGTGCACTTGTGAGCAGTGTGTACAGCAAAACTCACATAAGTCTTATCTTTATAAATCGTGCTTGCACCCGAGTCCCATTCAGTTTCCTACCCCAAATCACTACATGTATTTACATTTTATGAAGCAAATCATTAACGAACTCATAACACTGCTAACCACACTTACTATCTGCATTGAAACACAGGAAATGAAGGATCTATCCACACATGCACACTTACATTGAAGTATGCATGCACAGTGTAGACTATTGATTAAATCAGATTTTATACGACTTTCACCAGTTTGCCTGTAACTCATACTTCACATTAGTTATATTAAACATTAGGGTCCCGACTGATAATACTTATGTGAGTTTTACTGAACAAGTGAACAGTGTATGTTGCCTAGTGAGCAATGTGTTACAGCGGGATGTGGGTATATCACGGCTATAATAATAATCCTTGCATTTGATATAGCACCATATAATAATGATAATCTTCATATTTGATATAGCACCTTATCATGTCATTCAGACGTCGTAAAGCGCTTCACGAGTGTACTGTAAAGTGGATTGACTGCATATTTTGTGGGCAAAACACTGCAGCCAATAGCAGTGGCCCACAAACAGTCATGGATTGAGAGTCAAAATAATTTTTTTTTTAAGGGATTATTACCCTGGAAAAGTGATCCACCAATCAACTTAACAACTGGTAAACAGATAAGGAAACTTGCCTAAACAAAACACAAAATACTGCAGATGCTGGAATCTGAAACAAAAACATAGAGAGCTGGGAAAACTCAGCAGGTCAGGCAGTATCTATGGAGAAAGGAAAGTGAAGTCAACTTTTCAGGTCCACGAGTTCTGACGAAGTTTTCTCAGCTCTTTATGTTTTTGTTTAAGGAAACTTGTCTAACGTTTTGCCCTACCCAAGAGTTGAACCCAGGTCCTCTTGCTTGTGAGGCGAGTGCTCTAACCAGGGTAGAGTGGGAAGTATGACTATGATGGTTCAGTGGGTTGGGTATGTAGGGGTTACAGTGGATGGTGGGTTATATCATGGTTACAGTTCAGTGATTTGAGATGTGCCCGAGCGCTGTGTGATGCTGCTGCTTTGTCTCAGGTGACGATGAGGAAGAGGAACCCGAGATTCCCCTGAGCCCCCGCCCCCGGCCCCTCGCTGAGCTGCAGCTGAAAGAGAAAGCCGTGCCCATGCCTAATGCCAGCGCCTTCTTCATCTTCAGCCCCACCAACAAGTAGGCGACACATTCATTCATTCATCATTAACATCCGACTCGTAAGTGGAGAAACTTGGGCAATTAGGCAAATGAGTTGCTTGTATTTATAACAGTGGATCTGGAAAATAGAGGTAAGGAGATGTGTCTGTGGTTATATAATGGTTAGACCTTATTTGGATACTGTGTGAGTTTTGGGCACCCAATCATAGGAAGGATATATACTAAAATAATCTTGTAGCGTGTTGATGTACGATTCACTAGATTAGTACTCAGGGCTGAAGGGGGTTAGACACTGAATATACTGGGGTTAAATTCCTTCCAGCAGGGGTGATTAAGAGGTAATTTAACAATTATTATCCTTGCATTTGATTTAGCGCCTTAGCACACCTTCGAAATGACTCAAAGCGCTTCACATCATATACTGTAAAGTGAATTGATTGTATACTTTGTGGGTGAAACAAGACAGCCAATTGTGCACAGCAGCGTCCCACAATCAGTCGTGGATTGAAGTGACCAATTTATTATTATTATTTGTTTGGAAGGAATAATTACCCCCGGAAAAGCGATCCACCAATTGACTAATAACCGGGTTCCTACTTACTACTAAGGCGTGTGGAGTTAGGAAACTTGCCCAACATTTTACCCTGCTGAAAATCAAACCCAGGTCACTCATTTGCAAGGCGAGCACTCTGATCAAATCATTGTAGCTCAGTGGTTAATATGTGTAAGATAATGAAACTAATCTACAGCTTAGATAGTGGACAACCATTCTGCTGCATAGCAGGATCCATTTCAGGGGACAAATTAAAATTTTTCTCTGTGGTGTCTCTCCCAGAATCCGGGTGCTGTGCCATAGAGCCATCAACGCCACAACTTTCACGAACTTCATCCTGCTCTTCATCCTCCTGAGCAGCATCTCGCTGGCAGCAGAGGATCCCATTCGTCACGACTCCTTCCGGAATCAGGTGAGCGCCATTATCTTCCCAGCATGTCTCTCTCTCTCTATGATTAAGCTTCACAATGGCGGTGTAGGCCGGGGTCTGCGCGGTATAGGCCGGGGCCTGCGCGGTGTAGGCCGGGGCCTGCGCGGTGTAGGCCAGGGCCTGCGCGGTGTAGGCCGGGGCCTGCGCGGTGTAGGCCGGGGCCTGCGCGGTGTAGGCCGGGGCCTGCGCGGTGTAGGCCGGGGTCTGCGCGGTGTAGGCCGGGGCCTGCGCGGTGTAGGCCGGGGCCTGCGCGGTGTAGGCCGGGGCCTGCGCGGTGTAGGCCGGGGCCTGTGCTTTGTACAGTATTTATTCACCTGTCTTCTCTGGCTCATTTGGGAACATTCTTGCTTCAGTCAGAAGTTTGTGGGTTCAAGCCCATGTTGGATGTAATCGTGGCTGACACTCCAGTGTAGCACAGGGATTGTACTGCGGTGCTTCAGATGAGATGTTAATAGAAGTCTTATCTGTCTGTTCAGTTAATAACTGAGCACATTCTTTTTCCTTTCAGGTTCTTTACTACTTTGACATTGTTTTTACTACAATCTTTACTCTGGAGATTGTCCTGAAGGTATTTAGTGTGTATGGCTCCTGGGGTTACAGCATTTGCTATTCCAACCCTAAGCTAATGTGCCCAGTAACAAACCCCTCCAAATCCCAGTTTACTAACACTCTCCAATCTCTACCTTCCTCAGTGCATCCTCTAAACACCCTTCTGAGTAACGGTAGAAACATACAAGGATAAAAAAAAATGTCAACATGGAAGTTATTTAGTTAGGCCCAAAGCCTTGTTCTCAGCCGGAGAAAAAACTATTTTCTGGGGCAGGGAGTAAGCAGATTTCTCCAATCTTGGGCAGTTACCCAGCCCTGAAGATCAATATTAAACCCCCCAAAAAATTACAACATCATACATCTAGTCACTGCCATTTAAAAGCCAAAAATTACTCAAAACAAAAACAAAAATGGCAACAAGAAATGTGGGCGTTGGGAGCCAGTGCTGTGGGGACGCTGCTGACACCTATTGGCATTCACCTATTGTGCTATTGATCACAATAAACACCGCAAAGTGCATGGATAATTATCACCAACATCATTGGATAGCTCAAATATTATCTTACAGAAACTGCAGTTTTCTACACAGAAGGAGGCTATTTAGTCCCTCATGTCTGTGCTGAAGCTGTTTTTAATCACCTCGGTTGTAATAATTTCCGAACCAACCCACAACAACAATAGGTTACAATTATGTAGCACCCTCCACACAGGGAAGTATCTCAGAGCACTTAACAGTGGTGGAACCTGCTTCTGAGCCGGGGTGGGCGGGAGGTGACTGTAAGCACAGTCATAAAGTAAGGTTTTCAGGCAGGACTTGAAAAAGGAGAGAAGGGGGGAAGGTGGAGGGATTGAGGGAGAGGGTTCTACATTTTCGGGGCGTAGTGGCTGAAAGCACGATCTCCAATGGTGGAGAGGAGGGTGCGAGGGACAAGCCCAACCCTCCGAGGGGAAAACTTCCCTAACTTTCTGTTATCTATCCTCCCTTATCACTGACTCACCAACTGATGGAAATATTTTTTTCTCCATCTCTTTACACCGCTCATTAACACTTTTCTCTCTATCTCTATTACTCTCTCTCTATATATATGTACATACTTTGATGTACCTCTCTCACCTCTCCCCTTTCTCTCTCTGTCCTCTTTGTTTCTGTCTCTTTCTCTCTATCCTTCTCTTTCTCTGTATCACACATTCTCTCTCTCTCTCTCTTGCGCTAATGTACAGATGACCACATATGGAGCTTTTCTGCACAAAGGTTCATTCTGTCGAAATTACTTCAACATTCTGGACCTGTTAGTGGTCGGTGTGTCTCTCATCTCCTTTGGAATGCAGTGAGTACCCCCAGTGCATGTGTGTCAGTGGAATGTGTGTACACTTGTCAGTGGGGAGTATGTTTACACCCATATCACTGTGGTGTGTGACAGTGCCACATTTGTCCATATTAATTGACATTTATAATAATAATTCGATTTTTTTTCATATAGCGCCTTATCACAGCGATGAGATGTTTCAAAGCGCTTCACAGAATACACTGTAAGGTGAAATGACTGTGTATTTTGTGGGCGAAATGCAACAGACAGTTGCCACTTGTCAGGCAAGCTCCGTGATCTTTCCAGATCCCTCTGATTTGATTCCTGTTATTTGAAACTCCCTCCCCTCAGCTTGGCATTGTGCTGCATCACTGTCAAGCACTCTGGGAAGATACTCTGTGTGAGGGGTACTATATAAATGCAAGTTGTTCTTGTTGTAATACTCCCCTGCCTTCTACCCCAACCTCCTGCATCCATATCCCTGATGCTCCATGAACGCTCACCCTGATGCCTCCCTCGAGAGGCATGGGGCAGGGCTGGGCAGCACTGATGCTCCTCTGCTTGCTCCAGGTCCAGTGCCATTTCCGTGGTGAAGATTCTTCGAGTCCTTCGTGTTCTTAGACCTCTGCGAGCTATCAACAGAGCCAAAGGGTTGAAGGTGAGAGTACATCAGCCAGGTATTACTGCAGTGGGGGGAAGAGAGCACATCAGCCAATGCTGAGTGTGTCTCTGTGTATCTCTTCCTCTGTGTCTGTGTATCTGTGCCCGTCTCCATCAATGTACCTGTGAATCTCTGAAGGGGGGTGGTGTGGCATGAGGAGAGCACATCAGTCAGGCAATACTGCTGGGGAGGGAGGGGTGGGGGGTGGAAGAGCACATCTGGCAAGTACCTCATTGTCGACGAAAACATCGATATTCTCGCCCTCACTGAAACCTGGATCACTCCAGCCGACACCTTCCCCCTGTCAGAGGCAACACCACCCGGCTACACCTCCCATCATACCCCACGACCTCATTGCCTGGTGGTGGGGTGGCTCTCATCTCCCAGTCCTCGCTCGGCCTATACTCTTACTCCTCTGAACCTTCCCCTCCTTTGATCACAGCACAGAAGCAGCCCTGGTCAAAGTGACAAATTACATTCTATCCATCAGTGATCAGGGCTCCGTCTGCCTCCTCGTCCTCCTTGACATCTCTGCTGTGTTCGACACCGTCGATCACTCTATCCTCATCCACCGCCTCTTGTGTGGTGTTCCTCAGGGCTCTGTCCTTGGTCCCCTCCTCTTCAATATCTGTAGGTGGCAGATGGAATTTAATGTGGGGAAGTGTGAAGTTATTCACCTAGGTAGAAAAAATAGAAAAACAGATTATTTTCTAGAGGGAGAGAGATTAGATAGTGTTAGTGTTCAGAGGGATTTCGGTGTCCTTGTACACCAGTCTCAAAAAGTTAGTTTGCAGGTGCAGCAGCAACTAAGAAGGCGGTTAGCGTTCATTGCAAAAGGTTTAGAGTACAAGAGTAGGGAAGTCTTGTTGCAGCTGTATACGGCTTTGGTGAGACCGCACCGAGAGTATTGTGTGCAGTTTTGGTTTCCTTATTTACAAAAGGACATACTTGCCCTCGAGGGGGTGCAGTGTAGATTCACTCGGTTAGTGCCTGGGATGAGGGGACTGACCTATGAGGAGAGGCTGAATAAACTAGTGCCGTATTCTCTATAGAGTACAGAAAAATTAGGGGAGATCTTATTGAAACATATAAGATTCTTAAAGGGCTGATTCAGTAGACACTGAGGGTCTGTTTCCCCGGTGGGAGAATCTATAACCGGGGGTCACAGTCTGAAAATTAAGGGTCAGCCTTTTAGAACAGAGTTGAAACATTTCTTCACTCAGAAAGTAGTGACTTTATGGAATTCACTCCCCCAGAAGGCTGTAGATGTCAGTCCTTGAACATCTTCGAGGCTGAGACTGATAGATTTTTAAAAAATAGAAGGTTTAGGAGATATGGGGATAGGGCAGGTAATTAGAGTTAGGTGAGAAGATCAGCCATGATCTTATCGAATGGCGGGGCAGCTCGAGGGGCCGAATGGCCGACTCCTGCTCCTAATTCTTATGTTCTTATGTTCTTATGTCTTAGTGACATATCCGCAACATGGGATCAACACCCAATTCTCTCTCTCTGACTCCACCCTTGACTCCAGGACCCACTGAAGTCCTTGATGAGAGCTAACTTTATTTGAACATCAGCAAGACCGAGGCTCTCCTGATTGACTCTTATCAGCGCCTCCTCACCTCAGACACTGACAGCATCACCATCCATGGTTGCACACTCGACCTCACTGAGCCAGTCCGGAACCTCGGGGTCGTGTTTGTCCCTCAACTATCCTTTCTACCCCACATCTGTGCCGTGACCCGCTCTGCCTTCCCCATCTCTGCAACGTTGCCCGGCTCCACAACTGTCTCACACCGCAGGCCCCCGAAACCCTCATACACACCATCATTACATCGAGGCTCGACTATGCAAACTCCCTGCTTGTCGGCCTCCCCAACTCCTCCCTTCACAGGCTGCAGATCATCCAGAACTCTGCAGCCCATGTCCTCTCCCGCACCAGGCTCCATGACCCTATCACCCCCATCCTCACCCGACTCCACTGACTTCCCATCTCACAGAGAATACAGTTCAAGGCCCTCCGCGGTCACTTTCAAAGCCCTCAATGGTCTTGCTCCCCCCACATCTGCCACCTCCTAACCCCCTACCATTCTGTTCGCTCCCTCTACTCAGCGGGCTCTGGCCTGCTTCACGTCCCCCGCCTTGCTCACCCCATTATTGGCGGATGGGCTTTCTGCCACTCTGCCCCCACCCTCCGGAACTCCATCCCGCAGTCCCTCCACCTCGCCCCCTCCCTCGCCTCCTTCAAGACCCATCTCAGGGTCCTCCTCTTTGACCGTGCTTTCGATCTCCCTGGTTCCATTCCCCCACCCTGAACCCCAGCTCGAGTCTGAAACTCTGTCCAGCACCTTTGGACGTCCTCCTGACGTGAAAGGCGCTATATAAATGTAATTTTGTTGTTGTTGTATTACTGCGGGGTGTTTGATGAGTGGGGAGAGCACGCCAGGCATTACTGTGGGGTGGGCTGGGGAGAAGGGAGAGCACATCAGCCAGGTATGACTGCGGTGGGGGGTGGGGGAGAGAACACATCAGCCATGTATGTATGTGTGTCTTTCTGTATGTCTGTGTGTGTGTGTCTTTTTGTATGTCTTTGTGTCTCTTTGTGTCTGTGTGTCTCTCGCTCTGTGTCTCTCTCTGTGTGTCTGTGTGTGTAGGTTTCTCTCAGTGTCTTTGTGTCTGTGTGTGTCTCTCTCCATGTGTCTGTCTGTGTGTGTTCTGTGTATGTCTCTCTCAGTGTGTCTGTGTATGTCTGTGTGTGTGTGTGTGAGTCTCTTTCTGTGTGTCTGTATGTCTCTCTGTGTTTGTGTGTGTCTCTCCATGTGTGAGCCATGCTGTGATAAGATCAGACTGACCAGTTGTCTCTGTTTTTGTCCCTCAGCACGTGGTCCAGTGCGTGTTTGTGGCCATCAAGACAATCGGGAACATTGTGATTGTCACAACTCTCCTGCAATTCATGTTTGCCTGCATCGGGGTACAACTCTTCAAGGTAAACAGCCACACCGCTGTGCGGGAGCTGGGGGAGAAAGTGAGCGGGAGCTGGGGTGGGGGGTGAGCGGGGGCTGAGAGTGGCCTGAATGTAGCATACTCTGTGTAAACTTCTCAAGCACCACAAGCCTTACTTGTAGAGACACATAGCATAGTGGTGAGAGCACTTGCCTCACAAGCGAGAGGACCTGAGTTTGATTCTCGGGCGAGGCGAATCCTTAGGCAAGTTTACTTACTCCACAAACCACTGTTTACTTAGCAGTATGTTAGTTAGTTAGTTAGTTAGTTAGTTAGTTAGTTAGTTAGTTAGTTAGTTAGTTAGTTAGTTAGTTAGTTAGTTAGTTAGTTAGTTAGTTAGTTAGTTAGTTAGTTAGTTAGTTAGTTAGTTAGTTAGTTAGTTAGTTAGTTAGTTAGTTAGTCGATTGGTGGATCAATTTCCCGAGGTAATAATCCCTCCCCCCCCAAAAAAAATGTGGTCACTCAATCCATGACTGTCTGTGGGACACTGCTGCGCATTTCGCCCATAAAATACACAGCCAATTCACTTTACTCCTACCCTCGCTCGCCTCCACTGGCTCCCCATCCCCCAGAGGATTGATTTCAAGATCCTCATCCTCACCTACAAGGCCATTCACGGCCTCGCTCCCTCCTACCTCTCTGACCTACTATCCCCTACCTACCTGCCCATACCCTCCGTTCCTCTGGCTCCGGTCTGCTCCCCCCCCCCCCCCCTCTATCGGTGGTCGGGCCTTCAGCCTCTCAGCCCCGAGGCTCTGGAACTCCATCCCCCAGTGCCTTCGCCGCTTCCTCCCTTTCCTCCTTCAAGGCCGGTCTCAAAACCTTTCTCTTTGACCGAGCCTTCAGCTCCCCTCTCGACTCTCTCCCCTCCTCGCTCCCTCCCTTCCCTCCCTCACCCTGACCATTTCCCCCTCTCTCTCCTCCTTCCTCCCTCACCCTGACCATTTCCCCCTGCTCGGGTCATGACCCAACTGTGCAGCGCCTTGGGACGTCCTCCTGACGTGAAAGGCGCTCTATAAATGGAATCTTGTTGTTGTTGTTGTTGTTGTTTACAATATATTCGGTGAAGCACTTTCAGACGTCTCAACAATGCGATAAAGCACTATATCAAATGCAACAATTATTATTATGATTATTCATAATAATATGAATTAGACAGTCTGTGTAATACAGTGTTATACAGCCTGTGTTGTGTTCCTGGTGCGATGCTATTGTACACGATGATCAAAAAGTCGTGATATCTACCATATTATCTATTACCCTATCAAGCTCTCCAGGACGCTACCCACGTGAAGGGCACTATATAAATGCAAGTTATCTTAAAAAATCTATACATATCATTAGCTATCGAAGACTTATTAGACATTGTAATGATTTTATGACATTTTGGTCAAACCAGAACTTGTTTTGCACAATGATCCAAACTCTTGGCTGGCGATTGCAATTGTAATGGATTGTGCTTGCCTAGCCAATGGGAATAAAAGTATAAGTCACTTGGTCTGATTTCTGTGGCCCATTTAATTTAGCATAAACATTTCTGAATATACAAATAGAGTGAAAATAATGCAGCTGTGAAAAATCACGAGTTATACAGTTATATAGTAATCTGCAAACTCCTGTCTGTGTTTTGGCAATACAGGGAAAGTTCTACAGCTGTACTGACCTAACCAAAATGACAGAAGAGGAATGCAAGTAAGTGCCCTGCAGTGAGAGTGGCTCCCCAGTGAGAGTAGCCATGAACCCAGACACTGAAGCCCGGGGCAATAAGTCTGAGTGGAGTCCTGTAGCTCAGTGGTTTGAGCACTCGCCTCACAAGCGAGAGGACCTGGGTTTGATTTCTGGGCAGGGTGAAACATTAGGCAAGGTTTCTTACTCCACACACCTCTATTTACCTAGCAGTAAGTAGGAACCCGCTTGTTAGTTGATTGGCGGATCGCTTTTCGGGGGTAATAATAAGCCTTCAAATTTTTTAAAAAATAATAACAGTATCAACAATTTGGTCACTCAATCCATGACTGTTTGTGGGACGCTGCTGTGTGCAATTGGCTGGCGTGCTTCACCCACAAAATATACAGTCAAATCACTTCACAGTATATTCTGTGAAACGCTTTGAGATGTCTCAAAGATGTGATAAAGTGCTATATCAAATGCAAGGATTACTGTATCACTTGTCACTGAGGCTTGACATTAATGCCTGAGCCCTTAATAATAATAATAATTAATTAATAATTAAAAGTAAAGCCACATCAGGAAGCTGTAATCATGATCTAGGCTGACACTCTAGTAGGGAAGCGTGGTATTGTTGGGGGTGCCATCCTTTAGATGGGTCGCTAATGCCAGGTCTGCTTGTTTAAGTAATGTAAACATCCCATGGCAGTACTTGGAATGAGAAGTGACTTTCTCTCTCCTGCTGTCCTGGCCAGCAATCCCCCAAAGAGAATTTGTCATTCTGAGGGACATTGCTCTGTGCAAATTGGCTGCTACATTTACCTACTACACTACATTCTATGGTATATCTTGTGAAGCGCTTTGAGGCGTCTGCTTGATGTGAAAGGCCCTGTACCAAATGCAAAAAATATTATTTACCACGTCACTGTACACATATCTGAAGCCAGAAACAAGACTTGTTTGTCTGATATTCTTTTCCTGTGTTTAATACAAAATAAAAAATCAATCCATGAATCTTTCTTTCTCATTCCTTTTATCATTCTCCCTCACTCAAATTTTCTCTCTCCTCATCTCGCTCCCTTCTATTTCTCTTTCTTGCTCTCTCTATGCATATCTCTCTCCCATTTATCTCACACCTTCTACCCACTTCCCTTTCTCCATTCACTGTGTGCAATTGGCTGCTGCATTTCGTCTGCAAAACACCTAGTCAATCCACTTAACAGTATATTTTGTGAAGCGCTTTGAGATGTTTTGAAGTCGTGATAAAGCGCTATATCAAATACAAATATTATTATTTATCTCTTCTACCTTTCACACACTATCTTTCTATCTTTCTAGTTCTGTCTCATGCACTGTTTCACTCACTCTCTGTCTCACACATTCCCTCTTTCACTCGCTTGCTCATTCACTTTCCCTCGTGTCTGTGTGTAGAGGCTCCTATATCGTGTTTAAGGAGGGAGATGCCAATCACCTGCAGATCCAGGAGAGGAGATGGCTAAACAGTGACTTTAACTTTGATAATGTACTGTCGGCAATGATGGCTCTGTTCACAGTCTCCACATTCGAGGGCTGGCCCCAGTAAGTATCCTGTCTATTTAACCCCTCACTTCCTCTATTGACCCCAGTAAGTAACCTTACTCTTTAACCCTTTGCTCCATGCGTTGGTTGGAAACACTACAGTGAGCGAGTAGTTGATGTATCGGATAGGCTCCCTACGGTGTCAGTGGAAGCAGAAAATGTGGGTTATTTCAAAAGCAAATGAGATAGATTTCTGTTAGGGAATAACATCTTGGGGATACAGTATATAGTTTGGGACATGACATGTGCAAGCAACTACCAGGATGGTAGAAGTCAAACTGGATGGACCTTGGTCTTTTTTTGTCTGTCTTCACTAGCCCCAGTAATTTCCCTCCCTCTTTAACCCCTCTCTGCCTGCGCCCACACCAATAACCTCCCCTCTCTTTACCCCTAGCTTCCTCTGCCGCACAGGCACTTGCTAATGGCTAGGTAAAGGTTATTCCAGGTCAGACCGAACATGAGTTCAATGGTGGGGGCTGGCACTAACTCCCTGCCCATCCCTCCAGGCTGCTCTACAAGGCCATTGACTCCCACAACGAGGATATGGGTCCAATCTACAATTACCGGGTCGGAATCTCCATCTTCTTCATCATCTACATCATCCTCATTGCTTTCTTCATGATGAACATCTTTGTTGGATTTGTCATTGTGACCTTTCAGGAACAAGGCGAGACCGAGTACAAGAACTGCGAGCTGGACAAGAACCAGGTACTCACTAGCCCTCCCCTCCCCAACATAGAAACAGGAATAGATTATTCAGCCCCTTGAGCCTGTTCCAACATTCTACTGGATCATGGCCAATCTGTATTTCAACTCCAGGTATCAGCCTTTGTCCCATATCTCTTGCTACCCTGAACTAACAAATACCCATCCACCTCAGTCTTGAACATTACAATAGATCCAGCATCCACAGTCTTTTGGGAGAGAGAGTTCCAGATTTCTCCTACCCTTTGGGTGAAAAACTGCCTCCTGACTTCACTACAAAATGGCCTAGCTCTAAATTTAAGATAACGCTCCTTCGTTCTGGGACCTCCCCCCACCCCCTTCATCACCAGGATAAGGTGAGAATTCGGTGCATCCCACTTACACATGGAAACTCCAGAGATAAATCCCTCCAGTGGTATAACCCCTCCACGCCCCCGCTAACTGACATAACATGCTAACATGTACCTGCACCAATCTCCGCTCCCCGATAACCGTAGTCCTTACCACACTGCACTGGCTGCCTGTCCCAGAGAGGATTGACTTCAAGATTCTCACCCTTGTCTTCAAAACCCTCCACTCCTCTGCAACCCCTGACCTCTCTGACCTCCTCTCTCCTCACAACAGTGATCGTTACCTTCACTCCACCGGGTCTGGCCTCCTCCTTGTCCCCTAAATCCTCCACTCCACCATTGGCGGCCATGCCTTCAGCCACTACTCCCCGAGGCTCTGGAACTCCCCACCTCACTCCCTTCGCCTCGTTCCCCTTCTTCCTATTTTCAGGTCTTGGCTGAAGACCTTTCTTTTTGACCGCGCCTTTGGTCACCTTCTTCCCCCTCCCCCTGGCTCCTCCCCCTTCCCCTGGCTCGGCCCCGGGATCCGTTACTGTGAAGCGCTCTGCGACGCTGTCCAGCATGGAGGGCGCTATATAAATCCAAGTTGTTGTTATTGCCTTTGCACTGACCAGTGATGTTTCTCTCACAGCGTCAGTGTGTTCAGTATGCCCTCAAAGCTCGGCCGCTGATGCGCTACATCCCCAAGAACCCGTATCAGTACAAGGTGTGGTACCTGGTCACCTCGTCCTACTTTGAGTACCTGATGTTTGCTCTGATCTTCCTCAACACCATCTGTCTAGCAATGCAGGTAAGTCTCAGTGTTGCTGGATCCATTCCTATTGGAAACACTGCTTGATAATGTGAGTTACGGATAAGCAAGGGAAACAATGTGCTGGGATTTGTTGTCAAGCCAGTTGAGTTCAGATCTCTGGAAGACATGCTCAAGCTGGATAGTGCTGTGGTCAGGCTAGGCTGGACAACTGTGTGCAGTTCTGGCCATCTCAATGCAAGGGACTGGCCAGGCCTGAATGCAGTGCAGAGATCACCTGGCCAGTGGCAAGGCAGCTGGTGTGGACGGCATCAAGACTGAATTCCTAAAAACTGCTCTGAGGAAGGAGATGGAGAACACACACTGAGGATCTTACAGGTCCAACCCAGGTGCACATTCCATCCCAACAATCTATCTCTGGGATTTCCCTGTGCAGGTGGACATCTCAGCTTGGTTTGGATACTGATTTAAGAAATATTTGATAGTGTAATGGGAGGATGGGTATTCTGAAAGGTTGAATGAGTGAGGAGCTTTCTTCATTGGAATCTCGCTGTGATCCCGTGAGGTGAATGTGGAAGCTGAGGGGCTGGGAGGTGAAGTGAGAGCCTGATGTTATTAGACTCATGTTAATGCTGTGCCTCGTCCGCTCTGTGATGGAACTCTGTTCTTCCCCACAGCATTATGGACAGTCGGATGACTTCAGTTACCTCTCAGACCAGCTGAATGTGGTCTTCACAGGGCTCTTCACACTGGAGATGGTTCTGAAACTCTGTGCTTTCAAAGCCAAAGTAAGCCTGAGACACACTGCGCAGCAGAGAAACCTCACACACACATACACACACACACATACTTATACACACACACACACACGCATACATACATACACACACATAGACATACACACATACACACAGACTCACACACGCAAACACAGACATGCACCGGCCAGTCTGACCTAGCTGATGTATACACATGCTGGGGAGATCAACCTGTGTCCTTCAGCTCAGCTGTAACCAAAACAACAACAACAAGATTACATTTGTATAGCGCCTTTCACGACGGGAGGATGTCCCAAGGCACTGGACAGTGATAGCATTTCAGACCCGAGCTGGGGTCGCTGGAGGAGAGGACCAGGATTTTGAACTGGATCCTCTGAAGGATAGGGAGCCAATGGAGTCGGGTAAGAGTAGGGGAGATGAGGTCACAGAGTTTGGTGCGGGAGAGGACACGGGCTGCAGTGTTCTGGATTATCTGCAGCCTGTGGAGGGAGGAGTTGGGAAGGCCGACACGCAGGGCGTTTGCATAGTCGAGCCTGGAGGTGATGAAGGCATGAACAAGAGTTTCAGTGGCCTGAGGGGTGAGGTAGTGGTGGAGTCGGGCGATGTTACGGAGGTGAGGGAAGGCAGAGCGGGTCATGGCTTGGATGTGGGGGAGAAAAGACAGTTGAGGGTCGAACAAGACACCCGGGTTCCTGACTGACTGGTGAGTTGTAGTGTACACCATGGAGGGCGATGCTGCCGGAGCCTGAGGTGCTGAGGCGCTGCCGTGAGCCAATCAGGAGGGCCTCAGTCTTATTCACATTCAACTGTAGGAAGTTTGCCCTCATCCAGGACTTGATGTCCGACAGACAGTGTCAGGACAGCAGTGGCCCTGGAGTTGAGGGTGGGGGCAGACAGACAGTGTCAGGACAGCAGTGGCCCTGGAGTTGAGGGTGGGGGCAGAGAGATAGAGTTGGGTGTCATCGCGTACATGTGGAAGTTGACCCCATGTCTGTAGATGATGTCCCCGAGGGGGAGCATGTAGATATTAAAGAAGAGATAAGGACAGAGCCCTGGGGGATGCCACACGTGACAGTGCGGGGGCTGGAGGAGAAACCGTTAGAGGCAACAAAGTGGAGATGGTGAGAGAGATAGGATTCAATCCAGGCAAGGGCAGGTCAGTGAAGATTAAGTAAAGCGGAGAGGCGGTGTATGAGGATGGAGTGGTCGACAGTCTCGAAGGCGGCAGAGAGATCGAGGAGGACAAGGAGGCAGAGGGAGCCCTGATCACAGATGTTCAGAACGTCACTAGTGACTGTGACCCCCAGGGCTGTTTCCGTGCTGTGGGCAGTGTGGAACCCGGTTTGGAGGGGTTCATAGAGGGAGTGGCAGGAGAGAAAGGAGCGGAGCTGGGAAGCGATGACTCATTCCAGAACCTTGGAGAGGAATGGAAGGTTGGAGATGGGGCAGGAGCTGGAAAGTAGGGATGGGTCCAGGGAAGGTATTTTCAGGATGGGGGTGATGACGGCTGTTTTTAGGGGCGTTGAACTGAACTGGTAGACAAGGAGAGGTTGATGACATTGGACAGGAGAGGGGCCAGAAGGTGGATCTGGGAGATGAGGAGAGAGGTGGGGATGGGATCGAGGGAGCAGGTGGTGGGTTTGAGTTTGTGAACAATCGCGGAGAGGGAGGAGGGAGAGATAGGGTTGAAGGAGTATAGGGGGTGGATGGGTGGGGTGGGGGGGTCATGAGGGAGAAGTGATGTGGGAGTGACTGTGGCCGGGCTGAGGTGGCTGAACATATCCCCTCGATTTTGGTTTCGAGGCAATCCAGCATCTCCTCACAGGTGGAGTTTGAGGAGAGGATGGGCGAGGTATGGGAAGCTGGACGGAGGAGACGGTTTGTGGTGGAAAAGAGAAGCCACGGATTGTCCTTTGACTCCAAGATAACCTTGGAGTAGAAGGAGGATTTGGCAGAGGCAAGAGCGCAGAGGTAGGTCTTGTGGTGGTCAAGGGAGTGGCAACGGACGTGGGTGGGGAATGGATGAGGAGGGAGAGGTTAAGGGAAGAGAGGAGGGAGGAGAAGTCGGCAGAGGTAGAGCAGGAGGGGGAGAAGTGGAGGTTGAGGTCGCCTAGGATTAGGAGGCATTCAGAGTAGAGGGAGAGGGAAGATAGGAGGGTGGAGATATCCGAAAGGAAGGTGGGGGAAGGCTTGGGGGGACGGTAGACAAGGATGATTTTGAGGGAGAGCCTGGAGGGGTGGTAGAGGGTAAGATGTTTAAACGAGGGGAAGGTTCCGGAGGAGTAAGGGGAAAGGCAGAGAGGCGACCGGGAGATGAGAGCCACACCACCGCCACGACAATTATGCTGTGGGTTTTGGTGAAAGGTGTAACCTGGAGGTCTAGCCTCGACTCGTGGGAAGGTGTGGCCTGGGGTGACCCAGGTTTTGGTGAGGGCGAGGATGTCAATGTTTTCGTCAACGGTGAGGTCATGGATAGTGAGGGACGTTGATTAGTGAGAAATTAATGAGCAAAAGCAATTAAGCCCCACAGTGTCAGCACTGAGCACCTCTTCCACCCTCTCCCCATCCCTCCTAACCTGCTCGCCTCATCCCTCTCCTTTAGAACTCTCTCCCCTCTATCCCACTTCCCTTTAACTCCCTCCCATCTAAGAGACGTTAGTGATGGCCCACCACAAGTGGAAATAAAGATGTGGTGATTGGCTTCTTCGGACCAAGCCATTGTACTGAAAGGGGGAGATAATTATCACATCAAACCTGTTGTAAAGCAATTGCCGTTTTGCATTAAGGGACAGCCATCGTTAGCAGGCAGCAGCTTCACTGAATTCTTGATTTCTTTTTTCTATTTTTACCTGATCGGAGGATGTCTCCACTGGGTAAGTTACAGCAGCTCAAAGCTTTGTTTGTTAATGGTGCGATTGTTATAACTGATAATGATATGGAGTCCTGTAGTGTAGTGGTCTTGTTGCTTGCGAGGCGAGTGCTCTAACCACTCGCCTCGCAAGCAAGAAGACCCAGGTTTGATTTCCAGGCAGGCTGAAACCTTAGTCAAATTTCCTTGCTCCACACGCCTGTTTCCCCAGCAGTTGTTGGATCACTTTCCGGGGATAATAACTTCTCTTAAAAAAAACTTGGTCACTCAATCCATGACTGTTTGTGGGACACTGCTTTGTGCAATCAGCAGCTACGTTTCGCCCACAAAATATATAGTGAATCCACTTTAAAATATATTCTGTGAAGTACTTTGAGATGCCTAAATAACATAATATGTCGCTAGATCAAATGCAAGAATTATCGGCATCACTGCATTGGCCAACACAACATAAGGCATAATGGGTTAGGCAACCAATGGATTTTGATCGACATCCTTTTTTCTGCACAAGACAATGAGGAAGTATTGCTGCTATGTTCTAAAAGGCAATAATATGTGTTTAGCCAATGCAATAATCAGATAGAGATTTTAATTTAAGAAACGGGGTGATGTTGCCATGGGTAGGCAGTTGGTGGGTGTTCTGAAAGGGTGAGATCCAATAAATTGAAGGGCCTTCTTCATCTCAGCCCCTCGTTTCAGGTAGCTGAGGAGCCTGTGGAATTGTACCCTGCTGTTTGTGAGACACTGCTGTGCGCAACTGGCTGCTGCTTTTCACCCACAAAATACACAGTCAATCCACTGTATACATAGTATATCCCGTGAAGCGCTTTGAGACATACATCTCAATGACATGATAAGGTACTATATCAAATGCAAGGATTATCGTTTTTATTATTATTATTAATACCCCAGGAGGGGAAGGTCACGGTACCCCAAGTTACTTGTTAGTTTCCCTTCCAGGTAAAAGTTAGGGAATCCTTTCAGACAAATGATATTAATGCACGAAGATTGTGCTTAAAGACCTCAGATCATTTCAATTACCACTAGCTATATATATATATATATATATATATATATACCTGTAATCACCTCATAGACTTTGTTACATGTCACATTCAATGTCTGTCATCATCCACCTCTGGTTATATCTCATCCTGATAGTCAATTGAGTGAGATGAAGAAAGCCCTTCAGCCATTGGACTTCATCTTCCAGAATACCCACTCCAATGACATTATGTAGAGTCAATGCAACAACAACAAATTACATTTGTACAGTGCCATTCACATCGGGTGGACGTCCCAGTGCAAGCTCCTGATGAGTCCAATTTCTAACACTTGGTCTATCAAGCCTAAACTGTCTAATCTCGATTCTCTTCTCCATTCTTGTATTCTCTTCAGCACCTTGGAATGTGAAAGGCGTTAAACAAATATAAAGTTGTTGCTGACTTTTAAATGCCTGTTCTGTGCCTTAACAGGCAAAATTATCTGCAGATTTCAATGCTGTCATCATCCAAACTTATTTGCCTTGTGCTACCATCCTCCTGTTTTTCTCTGTCTCACTTATTCTGTTTATCTCTCTCTCTCCTCCTTTCCCTCTCCATAACACACTTTCTCTCCTCCGTCTACATCTCCCTTTCTCCCTCCTCCTTTTCTTCAATCTCCCCTTTTTTTCTACCCCTTGCTCTCTCTTCCTTTCTCCTTCTGTCTCCCATCCTCCCACCCTCCCTCCGTCTCTCTCCCTTCATCTTTTTCTCTCTTCCACTATCCTCCATCCTACCCCCCCCCCCGCACCACACACCCCCTCTCTCTCTACCATCTCTTCTTCAGGGATATTTCGGAGATCCATGGAATGTTTTTGACTTCCTGATTGTCATTGGAAGCATCGTCGATGTCATTCTCAGTGAAGTTGATGTAAGTACTTCTGCGTTCAGTTCACATTTTCACTCACTTGAGCACCGAGCAGAGAAGCATGAGGCGGGAACTGAGTGAGGTGGAACAGAGTGAGAATTCTGTTAAGGAATTTGGTGAGAGTGGGAATTTGATGCAGAGGTGCATAATTATAAAATATATACTAGTCAATAGAATAATAAAACATGTTTGGGAATATGGCAGGGCAGCCGGTTGCATGCACAATTTTTTTACACAGCTAGTTGTTGGGATCTGGAATGCATTGCCTGAAAGGCTGGTGGAAGCTGATTTGATAACAACTTTTAAGTTGTTAGAGAAGTAGATGATTATTTGGGGAGGACAAGTTTGCAGGGCTATGGGGAGAGAGCGGAGGAGTAGGATTGAATTGGATAGCTCTTTCCAAAGAGGCGGCAAAGACACAATGGCTGAATGGACTGCTTCTGTGCTATATAATCCTAGGATTCTACTTCTAAATGCCCTGAGAACAGGCAAGGGAAGGTACCCACCAAGGCGAGCTAAAATGCCAGGATCTGGCTTCTGTGGGTGAATCACAGACACGGGAAGAATTAGATTGTGAATTCCCAATTTCTGGGTCTGGGCAGAGAATGAAGTGATATTTGGCCACAATGTCTGGCTTGGGTCTGGTTCTTCATCGCTGTTCTGTAACTCCTGCTGGGAGCATATGTGCAAAATCCGGACACAGTAACAAGGGCAGCCAGAGCCAGGGGGAGCCATAAGAATTAGGAGCAGGAGTAGACCATTTAGCCCCTCGAGCCTGTGCCCTGCTATTCGATAAGATCATGGCTAATCTTCTGAGCTAACTCTAATTACCTGCCCTATCCCCATATCCCCTAATCCCTCTATTTTTTAAAAATCTATCAGTCTCAGCCTTGAAGATGTTCAAGGACTGACTGATCATCTACAGCCTTCTGGTGAAGAAATGTTTCCATCCCCAGGAGAAGAGAGAATATTGCAAGAGATAAATATAAGAGTCAAAAGACAGAAGTGGGATAATCAGTTAAAGCACCAAAGACATGAACTTATTGTCATTATCTAAGATGCCACTAAAGGAACGTGAAGTGTAGCTTGGAGTCCAAATGTTGAGGAGTCCTCACTGCATCCTGAAATGAGCACATTTCAAGGCTTGCGCTGCCCAAGTCAACCTCTCAGCCATCATTATCTGGGTGAAGCATGACGTTATTCTTTGCTTTCTAGCTCAGGAAAACCTGCTTTGTCGTTTGGTGTTTTCCAACGAGAATCCAATTGTGTTCTGAGGCTCAAATTCCTTCAGAAAAGTTTGGCTTCCCTACCAGCCTGCCCACTCCCTCCGTTCAGCGGGCTCCAGCCTGCTCCATGTCTCCTTCCTGACCCGCCCTACCATCAGTGGCCGGGCTTTCAGCCTCTCTGCCCCCACACTCTGGAACTCCATCCCTCAGTCCCTTTGCCTCGCTTCCTCCCTTGCCTCCTTCAAGGCCGGTCTCAAGACCTTTCTCTTCAACCATGCCTTCACCTCCCCTCTCGACTCTCTACCTCAGCTCAGTAGTTAGAGCACTCGCTTTGCAAGCGAGAGACCTGAGTTCAATTCCAGGCAGAGGGCGAAACCTCGGGCAAGTTTCCTTACTCCACACAGAGCCTAATAATAATCCCTCCAAAACCAAAAACAATGATAAATTGGTCATTTTCAATCTACGACTGTTTGTGGGACATTGCTGTGCGCAATTGGCTGCCGCGTTCGCCCACAAATATACAGTCAATTCACTTTACAGTGTGTTCTGTGAAGCGCTTTGGGACGTCCTCCCGACGTGAAAAGCGCTATATCAAATGCAAGGATTATTATTATTATTACCGCCTCCTCGTTCCCTCCCCTCACCCTGACCACTTCCCCCCGCTCGGGTCCCAACCCAACTGTCCAGCGCCTTGGGACGTCCTCCCGACGTGAAAGGTGCTCTATAAATGCAATCTTGTTATTGTTGTTGTTGTTCAAGGCTGGTCTCAAGACCCTCCTTTTCGATCATGCCTTCAGTCTCCCTCCCACCTCTCTGCCCTCCTGCACCCCTACCCCAACCTTCCCCCATGCTTGGATCCTGATCCCTGACTGTCCAAAGCCTTGGAACGTCCTCCCGATGTGAAAGGCGCTCTATAAATGTAATTTTGTTGTTGTTGAAATCCAAGATTGCGCAGAATTGCTCAAAATGTGCCTACACAAACAGTCATTTCAGTGGGCAGCAAATCCCTGAGGGTCTTTGTGACATTGTGATGTCATGGGCACCAGAGCAATACAAAGATTTTTATTATTCAAATTCAATTCTAAAATTCAGTCTAAATTTTTAACGTGATTCCCACAGTTCTTAACAAGAATTAATTTAGGACTAGTCAGCAATTCTGCGCCATCTATAATTTTAAGACAAAATGGTTTGGCAAGGCTAAGATCAGTGGGAATTTGGGGCCTAGTGGTCTTAAACATTGCAGGAAAACCATGTCCCTTGCTTTGTATTCACGGTGTGTGTATTCAATGTTTATCCACTGTTTATATACTGTTCAGTCACTGTTAGTCACCGTTCAGTCAATGTGCACATGGCTCTGACTGTCCCCATTTCTAAGTTGTTCAGGAGAGCTTGGCATTGACTGTGTTAAGCTGCCCACTGGCAGTGATAGCTGTGTGTTGATTGACACACTGTGGGTATGATGTCCGCAGCTGCTTGTGGGGACAGCTAACTGCCTCAGGCTACGTGCTTCACCTCTAGCCCCCACCACACAGTCAGTGACTTGGAGTGGGGACTGTTTGTTGGAGCCAAAAAAGTTATCGGGGAGAAGAGAAAGATCTTATTGAGGTTTTCACATTAACAAAAACTGTAATGAGGTAAAAAGAGAGACTATTGCCACTCATCAGCAAATCAGTAACAAGAGCACAATTGAGGAATATCAGATTTAAGAGTGGGTGGTGGGTGTGGAGGGGGGGAGAGGATTTATTTTCACATACACAGAGGTTGGTTACGATGTGGAGTGCCTCAGCATAAATACCTGTGGAAATTGTAACCAGCACGGCATTTAAAAAGGAATAATTACTTTGAGGGAAAATAATATCAAAAGGTATGCGGAAAGAACCAGGGAATGGGGTTAGAGTAGAGCGCTCCAGTGGGGGAGCGAGCACCAGCACGGACATGGTGAGGAGAGAGCCAGGGAATGGGATTGAAGGAGAGAGAGCTCCAGTGGGGAACCAAGCACCCATTTAGCCAAAGGCTGCCTCCCATGCTGTAAGTGTTCTATTTCTGTGTCATTGGAATGTGATTCTGGAATGGAGAGAAGACTAACATCAGCTGTAATCAGACGTGTGGTAAGAGCTGTAAAGGAGGCAGCCATGTCTCCAAGGGTACATGCAAATGATGCCAATACTAACCCCCAGGGACAAAGTACAGTCAAGGGTGAAAATGCTTGACTGGAAAAGGGCTAATTTTGATGGACTAAAAAGGTACCTAGAGTTGGTGGACTGGCAAGTAAGAATGGCAGGTAAAACGACTCATGAGCAATGGGAGATCTTCAAAGATAGATCTAAATAGGGTCTAAATAGATATATTCCCACAAAAGGGAAATGTGCGAGAACCAAGCCAGCCTGGATGACCAGGGATATTCTGTCTAGGATGAAAAAGAAGAAGACGGCGTACGACAATTGGAAGACGCAAGATACTAAGGATAGCAAAGCGCATTATAGAGAATGCAGGAGTGATCTTAAAAGAGTGATAAGACAGGCTAGAAGATCGCATGAGAAGAGGTTAACGGGTAACATAAAGGGGAATCCTAAAATATTTTACAAGCACATAAAGGAAAAAAGGTTAGTTAGAGGTAGGGTGGGGCCAATCAATGGCAATGACGGCCATCTTGTTATGGAGGCAGAGGCTGTGGCTGATGTACTGAATGAGTACTTTGCATCTGTCTTCACAACGGAAACGGATGCCCCAAATGCCGCAGTATTGGATGAGAGGGTAGAGGACATAGATCAGATTACTATAGACAGAGAGGAAGTTCTGAAAAGATTGACTGGGCTCAAAATTGATAAGTCACCAGGACCAGATGGGTTTCACCCAAGGTTGCTGTGGGAGATACGGGTTCAAATAGCGGAGGCCTTGGCCATTATATTTCAATCGTCATTGGACACAGGAGTGGTGCCAAGAGACTGGAGAGTGGCTAATGTTACCCCCTCTACAAAAAGGGGCAGAAAGACAAACCCGGAAGTTACAGGCCAGTCAGCCTAACCTCGGTAATAGGAAAACTACTGGAGACCATAATCCGGGACAGAATAAATCTCTACTTAGAGGAACACGAGGTAATTAGAGACCCAACATGGATTTGTTAAAGGCAAATCTTGCCTAACAAATCTAATAGAATGTTTTGAAGAGGTGACTATGAGGGAAATGCGGTGGACATTATTTACATGGATTTTAAAAAGGCTTTTGACACAGTACCGCATAAGAGGTTAATAAAAAAACTGGAGGCCCACAGTAATTAAGGGGACAGTGGCAGTTTGGATTATGAACTGACTGAGTGACAGAAAGCAGAGGGTGGTGGTTAATGGGTGTTTCTCGCAATAGAAGGAAGTGTGCAGCGGTGTCCCCCAGGGATCGGTACTGCTCTTTCTAATATATATTAATGATCTGGACTTGGGCACAGGGAGTACTATTTCCAAGTTTGCAGATGATACCAAGTTAGGTCGGGTAATAAATAGTGAGGAGGACTGTAACCAACTGCAGGCAGACATACACAGAATGGTGGAATGGGCTGACATGTGGCAGATGGATTTCAATGTGGATAAGTGTGAGGTGATACACTTAGGGAGGAAAAATATAGACTTGGGAGCTCAATCTTAAGGGGGGTGAACATACAGAGAGATCTGGGTGTTCAAGTAAGCGAATCATTAAAAGTAGTGGGGCAGGTAATAATAATAATAATAATCCTTGCATTTGATATAGCGCTTTTCACGTCGGGAGGACGTCCCAAAGCGCTTCACAGAACACACTGTAAAGTGTATTGACTGTATATTTGTGGGCGAACGCGGCAGCCAATTGCGCACAGCAATGTCCCACAAACAGTCGTAGATTGAAAATGACCAATTTATTATTGTCTTTGATTTTTGGAGGGATTATTATTAGGCTCTGTGTGGAGTAAGGAAACTTGCCCAAGGTTTCGCCCTCTGCCTGGGATTGAACTCAGGTCTCTCGCTTGCAAAGCGAGTGCTCTAACCACTGAGCTACAGGACTCCACGATAAGGTAAATAAGGCAGTAAACAAGGCATTTGGTGTGCTGAGCTTTATTAGTAGGGCATAGAGTATAAGAGTAGGGGTTATGGTTAATCTATACAAAACACTGGTTAGGCCTCAGCTGGAGTACTGCGTCCAGTTCTGGGCACCTTACTGCAGGAAGGATATTAGGGCACTGGAAAGGGTGCAGAGGAGATTCACGAGAATTCAAGATCCTCATCCTCACCTACAAGGCCATTCACGGCCTCGCTCCCTCCTACCTCTCCGACCTACTATCCTCCTACTTACCTGCCCGTACCCTCCGTTCCTCTGGCTCCGGTCTGCTCCACAACCCCCTCCCCAACCGCCCTACCATTGGTGGCCGGGCCTTCAGCCCCGAGGCTCTGGAACTCCATCCCCCAGTGCCTTCGCCGCTTCCTCCCTTTCCTCCTTCAAGGCCGGTCTCAAGACCTTTCTCTTTGACCGTGCCTTCAGCTCCCCTCTCGACTCTCTACCCCCTCCTCACTCCCTCCCTTCCCTCCCCTCATCCTGACCATTTCCTTCCTCCTTGCTCCCTCCCTTCCCTCCCCTCACCATTTTCCCCCCAAGGCTCGGGTCCTTGACCCAACTGTCCAGCGCCTTGGGACGTCCTCCCGACATGAAAGGCGCTATATAAATGGAATCTTGTTGTTGTTGTTGATACCAGGAATGGGGAACCTTAGCTATGAGGATAGTGGAGAAGTTAGGACTTTTCCCATTAGAGCAGAGAAGGTTACACGGGGACCTGATAGAGGTCTTCAAGATCATGAAAGGTTTCGACAGGCGAGATAGGGAAAAGCTGTTTCCGCTGGTAGGTGTGTCTGTGACCCATGGTCACAGTCTGAAGATATCTACCAAAAGAAGCAGAGGGGAGGTTAGAAGAAATGTTTTCACTCAGCGAGTTGTTCGAATTTGGAACGATATGCCTGAAAAGGTAGTGATCGAATTCAAGATCCTCACCCTCACCTACAAGGCCATTCACAGCCTTGCTCCCTCCTACCTCTCCGACCTACTATCCCCCTACCTACCCGCCCGTACCCTCCGTTCCTCTAGCTCCAGTCGGCTCCACATCCCCCGCCCCAACCGCCCTACCATCGGTGGCCGGGCCTTCAGCCTCTCAGCCCCTAGGCTCTGGAACTCTATCCCCCAGTGCCTTCGCCGCCTCCTCCCTTTCCTCCTTCAAGGCCGGTCTCAAGACCTTTCTCTTTGACCGTGCCTTCAGCTCCCCTCTCGACTCTCTACCCACTCCTCGCTCCCTCCCTTCCCTCCCCTCACCCTTACCATTTCCCCCCAATGCTCGGGTCCTGACCCAACTGTCCAGCACCTTGGGACGTCCTCCCGACGTGAAAGGCGCTCAATAAATAGAATCTTGTTGTTGTTGTAGTGAAGTTCGATTCGATAACAGCTTTTAAGAGAGAACTGGACAGGTATCTGGGGAAGACGGGTTTGCAGGGTTATGGGGAGAAAGCTGGTGAGTGGGGTTAGTGAAAGTCAGTTGCTCTGTCAAAGAGCCGCACAGACTCGATGGGCCGAATGGCCTCCTTCTGTGCCGTAACATTCTATGAATCTATGAATCTATGAAAGGTCATAGCTGTGGCCAGCACTGCTCTGAGATGCCAACCTCCCAAAGAGTGTGCCAGGCACTGTATAGGAGAGACTTCACTGTGTCTGCTGCTGTCTAACTAATTTATCTCCCTGGCTTGGTGTTGTGCTCCACAACTGTCAAGTGCTCTGGGACACTACCCTGCGTGAGGGGCACTGTATACATGCAAATTGTTCTTGTTGTCCCTGCCGCTAGTTATTTGTCATAATATTCTGTTGCTTTGTACAGTACACCAATACTTCTTCAGAAATGACGTAATTTGTGGAATGGATTCCAACCGGTGCCTGGAGCAGAGCCACGGCTTAGAATCAGCACTGAAATATGCTATTTCCACCATGCACTTGTGAAATGTATCTGCTTGTCCCAGCTGTCACAGGCCTGAATAACAGGCACAGCAAGCCTGAGTAGGCTAGCCTGAGCTGGGCTACACGCTGCTGCCTTACATGGTGCTTGTGTGTTTGTACGTGTTTATCCATTGTAAACACCCTGCCTGGGCTTCTGCCTGGGGTGTGTGTACTGTGGTCACCCAGGTCATGCCACTGGCTGTACGTTGCGTCTCTTCTCTGTGTCTCGCTCTGCATGTTCACCTGTTTATTCCTTTGACAGACTGCTCTTGCTTCCAGTGGCGGGCTCTACTGTTTGAGCTCTGGATGCGATCCCAATGTAAATATCTGGCTGCATGGTGCCGTGTGCTGGGTTTGCAACTCTCTTCAGCTTTGCACTGTGCCTGTGAATCTCAGAGTACTGTACAGCACTCATTCTGTGGTGTGCATCCACTGTCAAATCACCTCTAAAGGATTCAGAGAAGCAAACAGAATGGGGTAGGCAGCAAGTGACGACAACATGATCGATCTAGCACAATCCACGTTCAAGAAACAGAATGTCCTCTCTCTCTCTCTCGCTTGCTGATTAAAGTTCAGTCAAGTGATGATGAAGGCAGAGCCCAGTGTGAATTCTACGAAGAACATTTCCAAATTGGAAATACAGAGAGAGACTATTCATTATATGTAATTCACGGACTCCTCACTGCTGCCTGTGCCCTGGTTTGGTGGTGCCTCACTGCAGGGCAGCTGTGAGGTTTGCCTGGATATTTCTGTCACTGTTCCATAAGGCAGCTGGTCGATGAACTCTTGCACCTGCCCAGCTCCCAGCCCGAAGACCAGCCCAGGGAGTAAGTGCTAATTTATTGCAGCAACATAACCTTGCTGGCTCAGTCACACTGATAACGCACATGTGTTCAGTGTAGCTCGGAGCCTGTAGCTCGGAGCCTCCTCATTGAGGGATTGTGCCATGTGTCCAGCCCAAACCCCATGCATTTGCTTCTTTGAAGATCGTGTGCCCATAACAGACCTTGCAGATGACACACAGTTTGTTTCAGATTAAACCAGGGAGGCTGCTGGAGACGGCCACATGTACTAATAACACTGGATTTCTTCCTGTTTAGTCTGCCCATAACTGAGCCCAGTGTAAACTTCCTGAGGATTGATTCTTCCTGCAGTGGCTGCTTAACATCGATTGTGATCCCAGTAGATTGATTCTTCCTGTTCCCATGAGCTTCCGATTTCTCCTGCACTAACTCCCTTCGCTTCTTCCCGTCAGTTCTTCCCGTTGAGGGCCTGGGCGCTGCACCCTGGTTCAGACCTGGTATCTCATTCCATGTTCTAGATTAAAGATCTGTTGCCATTGTGTGGAGGTGATCACACATTGGGGGAGACCCTGAGTCTGCCAGCACCAAGCTGTAAATTGTACTAGTGCAGTAAATCTATGATGCAAACCCCAGGGATTTCCTGTTACCACCTTGTAGTGAAAGGATTGCTGGTGTCCGCCTTGATACCCAGAGGCCCGAGGCCTGTTCCATGTCTGGCTCACGTCCATCGTTAGCCAAGAAAAGTACATTTGCTTCTCTCCACGTGATTGTCCTGCCCCTGGGTTAGGTTTAGTGAGGAGGACCACAGTTCACTTCCCACTTCACAGGTCAAAGGCAGTTCTACAGCCAATCAAAGGAGGGTATTAAGAGAAGGAAGTGGCATAATGGGAGTCTATTTGTTTATAGCACTCCCCACCGCCACTGCCCCGTCACAGCAAACGTTAACCAGATGTTAATTCCAGATACCTTTGTGGCCCAATCCAGGGGATTATGAAGTAGACACTGACTACTGCACTGTGAACCAGCCCACGATGTCAGCTTCTGCAACAAACCCACCTCTCCAAGCACTGAATGGTTATCACTCTCAATGACAAGGGAGAGAATATGTGCTGCACTCACACACTCACTCAGGCACAGCAGCTATTAAACTGCTAGAAAGGTTCATGGTGAAAGAACTATTCCCTGCTCTCCTTGCTGATCTTCCCCACTGCTCTCCCTGTTCCTCCACGCTCTCTCCTCCTCTCTTCTGCATTCTTTCTCTCCTTCATTCTTTCCTTTCTCTCCTCCCTTCTATCTCCTCTCTCTTTCTCTCCACACTCTCCTCAAATCTTTCTTGCTCTTCTCCCAAATCTCCTCTTTATTTCTCTCCGCTCTCTCCACTCCGCACTCTCTCCTCCACTCTCTCTTCTCCCCTCTCCCTCCTGATCTAAAATCAATAACACTGATGTTGACCTCACTGACTTGTTTTTAATAACTAAGCAGCAATTGTGGGGTAGCAACTTTTCCCCAAGACCTCTGTCTGATCCCTTTCCCATCACTGCTTCCCAGGAATCAGAGGATAGTTCACGTATTTCCATCAATTTTTTCCGTCTTTTCCGTGTGATGCGCCTGGTGAAGCTGCTGAGCCGAGGAGAAGGGGTGCGGACATTGCTGTGGACCTTCATTAAATCATTCCAGGTAAGATTGCTTTTGTTACTGTTAAAGATCCTGTGGGACTGTTGAAAAAGAGAAAGTTGTTTTTCCTAGTCTTGAGAAACAATGCTCCAGATAAATTAGACAGTCGCTTAATGGATGTTTGTGGGAAATCATGGACGCAAAATGATCGCTGTTGCCTATAAAACGGTCACTAAATTAGTCGAACATTACCTGCCTCTCTTCCATCTCTGGTCTGTTGCTCATTCTTCACTTTCAATGTCCTACCATCAGTACCTGTAGCTCAGTGGTTAGAACGCTCACCTTGCAAGTGGGACACCTGGGTTCAATTCCCGGCAGCGCGAAACCTTGGGCAAGTTTCCTTACTCCACACAGAGCCTAATAATAATCCCTCCAAAACAAAACAATAATAAATTGGTCATTTTCAACCCAGGACTGTATGTGGGACGCTGCTGTGCGCAATTGGCTGCCGCGTTTCGCCCACAAATATGCTGATCTTCGATCTTTGATCTTCCAAAATTCTCTGGATTCTGGAACGGTTCCCATTCATTGGAAGTTTGCAAATGTAACACCACTATTTAAGAAGGGTGGGAGAGAAAAGATGGGGAACTACAGACCAGTTAGTCTGACATCAGTGGGAGGAAAAATTCTTGAGTCCTTCATTAACGATGTCGTTATGGGATTCCTGGAAGACCATAAGACCATAACAAGATTAGGCGGAGTCAACACGGCTTTACAAAAGGGAAGTCACGCTTCACTAATCCTTTAGAGTTTTTTGAAGATATATCTGCAGGTTAGATAGGGGGGAACCAGTACATGTAGTATATTTAGATTTTAAAAAAGGCATTTGACAAAGTGCCACACAAAAGGCTATTGCACAAGGTTAAGGCCCACGGGATTAATGGGAACATATTAACATGGATTAAAGAGTGGCTAAAGGGAAGAAAACAGAGAGTAGGGATAAACGGGTCATTCTCGAATTGGCAGAATGTGACTAGTGGAGTGCCACAAAGATCAGTGCTCGGGCCTCAGCTATTTACAATTTACATCAATGATCTCGACGAGGACATTGAATGTAACGTATCTAAATTCACGGATGACACTAAACTCGGTGGGAGAGTGAGCTCTGAGGATGATGCAAAAAGATTGCGATGGGATATAGACAGGTGAGGGGAGTGGGCGAGTAGGTGGCAGATGGAATTTAATGTGGGGAAGTGTGAAGTTATTCACCTAGGTAGAAAAAATAGAAAAACAGATTATTTTCTAGAGGGGGAGAGATTAGATAGTGTTAGTGTTCAGAGGGATTTGGGTGTCCTTGTATACCTGTCTCAAAAAGTTAGTTTGCAGGTGCAGCAGCAACTAAGAAGGCGAACGGCAGTTAGCGTTCATTGCAAAAGGTTTAGAGTACAAGAGTAGGGAAGTCTTGCTGCAACTGTATAGGGCTTTGGTGAGACCGCACCGAGAGTATTGTGTGCAGTTTTGGTTTCCTTATTTAAAAAAGGACATACTTGCCCTCGAGGGGGTGCAGCGTAGATTCACTCAGTTAGTTCCTGGGATGAGGGGACTGACCTATGAGGAGAGGCTGAATAAACTAGTGCCGTATTCTCTATAGAAGTACAGAAGAATTAGGGGAGATCTTATTGAAACATATAAGATTCTTAAAGGGCTGATAAAGTAGTCACTGAGGGTCTGTTTCCCCGGTAGGAGAATCTATAACCAGGGGTCACAGTCTGAAAATTAAGGGTCAGCCTTTTAGAACAGAGTTGAGGAAACATTTCTTCACTCAGAGGGCAGTGACTTTATGGAATCCACTCCCCAAGAAGGCTGTAGATGTCAGTTCTTGAACATCTTCAAGGCTGAGACTGATAGATTTTTAAAAAACAGAGGGATTAGGGGATATGGCAATAGGGCAGGTAATTAGAGTTAGGTCTGAAGATCAGCCATGATCTTATCGAATGGCGGGGCAGCTCGAGGGGCCGAATGGCCTACTCCTGCTCCTAATTCTTATGTTCTTATGTTCAGTGTAAAATGTTGATACACTATTTCCAAACTGAGGGTCTGCATTCCCAACCACACCCAATTTACATTGCTGCAATGGTATCGGGCATCATTTTTGTCTGTAGAGTGTTTATACAAAATAACATTGGTTTAGCGAGATCCCAGTAAGGTTGCAACGAGCCAGGTAATATTAGATCCAGACTGTATCTCATTACTAATCTTATTTACTCTAGGCTTTACCATATGTGGCCTTGCTTATCGTGATGTTGTTCTTCATCTACGCTGTCATTGGGATGCAGGTAAGATTGATGTGTCATCTTCTTTCTGTGTGGATGGAGCCTGAGGAGCAGCTAGATATGCTAGGGCTCTTCAGCCTCAAAAAGAGACATCTCGGTGGAGATCTTATCCAGGTGCACAAAATGCTAAATGGGATTGAGAAAGTAAAGCCAGATATCTATGTCATCGAGATAGGCAGCAGTACAGGAGGGCACAGATTCAGGGATGTGATGTGTAATTTAGAACAGACACCAGGAAGTATTTCTTTATACAGAAGGTAATTAATGACAGAAGAAGTTACCAGGAAAGGTGGTTGAGGCCAGGACACTAGGCCTCACTAACAGCTTGATCCTGCATTAAGAGGCCTTGAAGGAGACAAGAGAGGGAGCAGCGTGAAGGGACTGTGGGCTGGAGTTCCAAAGATTGGGGCCAGAAAGGCTGATGGCCTGACCACCGAAAGGATGATTTGAAAGGATGTGATCAAATGGGCCATATCTCTCTTGTGACTTTGTTACATAAATATCTGAGGTATTGACTCCTTTACCTTCTGGTAAATAAAGCCGTTTCATTTTTGCAGCAGCAATTGAAATATGTCACTTTCTCATCAACATAAAAATCAAATCCATACATTTGAGCTCAATGATGTACTTTAGTAATTCAGTAACAAAGCTCTCCCTGATACACACATGGTTGTGTGGCTGCTGACTGCCCTCTCTCTGTGTATCTCTAAAGCTCTGCTTTGTTTTATCTGACAAATAGGTGTTCGGGAAGATCGCGAATGTGGACGGAGCGCAAATCAATCGCAACAATAACTTCCAGACCTTCCCGCAGGCTGTGTTGCTGCTCTTTAGGTACGTAAGGCGTTGGCATAGCCACAGTCTAGCCGCGCATGTCCTTGCCTTTAAAGTCCTACACAGCCTTGCTCCTCTTATCTCTATGACCTGCTAACTCCATATAAGACCTTTCTGCACCCTCTGCTCAGCAGGCTCCTCCCTGCTCCAGGATCCCTGCCTGGCTTGCCCAGCCCCACTATCGACAGTCGGGCCTTCAGCCTTCTATCCCCATGCTTTGGAACTCCATCCTACAGTACCTTCACCTCGCTCGCTTTCTTGCTTCCTTTAAGGTCTGTTTCAAGAGCCTCCTCTTCAACCATGCCTTTGGTCACCTCTACCATCCCTGCCCTCTACCCTCCTGATCCCAGCCCCCAGCTCAGGTCCAAATCCCTGGCAGTCTAGTGTGTGTAAATGTAATTTGTTAATGTTGGGCTGTGCTGAGTGAGTGACCTTAGCATTTGCCGTGTGACAGGTGTGCCACCGGGGAAGCCTGGCAGGAAATCATGCTAGCATGCCAGCCTGGCAAACTCTGCGACCCCGAGTCCGATTTTGAGCCGGGAGAGGAATATACCTGTGGAACCAACTTCAGCATCTTCTACTTCATCAGCTTCTACATGCTCTGCGCCTTCCTGGTAAGCCATCGGCCTACTCATGACCATCCACAGTCAGCCTCAGTACTTGTGACGTTGGGTAGAAACACCATGAGCAATGATTTAGTGTTCACCTGAACTGCTCCGCCTTGCTACCCCTTCCCCATCTTCAGATCGCGCCTGAAGACCTTCCTCTTCGTCGACCTACAGTCACCTCGCCACCCTCCCCTCTGGGCTCAGCATCGAGCTCTGCCACTGTCAGGCGCTACCCTCCATGAAGGGAGCTACATAAATGCAAGTTGTTGTTGTTGCTCTGACACTCTATATAAAACCCAGGTCAGTTACAATGCTAAATATTCACTGTATCTTAGCTATGAGGATTCAGAGAGTAGCCTTGGGTTATATACTGTACTTTTAATTAATATTTTGGTCAGTGATATTGTGAAACACAGAAAAAAGAGTGATGAATGGGAAATTGTAAATAGAGCACTACTCTAGTGCTCCGAGACGCTACACCACGTGAAGGGCACTGTATAAATGCAGAGTGCATTATAAAGAGGTTATTAATAGGCTGTAAATGGCATAGACGTCACAATGAGTAGTCAGCGTGAATTTAGAAGCAGTGGCTAATACCTCATGAATCTGACACATTCTGTATGGAATAACATTTCATAGTGAAAAATAATTCAACTGACTTTCAGAAAATGTTTGATAAAAGTTCTTCATCTGAGATGTTGAAAGAAAAGTTAAGAAACTTGAACAAGATATGAATGGGATCCAAAACAAGGCAACATATTAAAATTAGAGCTGGAATGAATTAGAGTTAGAAGTGAGATCAGAAAACATGCTTCACACAGAGGGCTGTAATAATGTTGATTAATTGGTATTATGAAAAGGGAGATAGACAGGTCCATGAAATGTAAAAATATTAAAGGTTTATGGAGAAAAGGCAGTCAAGTCAAGGTATCTTTGAAGCCAGAGCTTTAGCTTTAGACATGTGTTGTTGAGTAGAATAAGTCAGAATAAGTCCTACAGTCAAGGGCTGTAATGAGTGACCTGGAAGCCCAGGATCATGAGTCCTCGGGAGGAGGGTTCTTCTTAACAAACACTTGTGGAATCTGTTCACTTTTCCACGTCCTGCCAGAGATTCCTGAGCCATGGATGAAACACTGTCAGTAAGAAATGTGGACCCGGGTGGTGGTGTGGGTGGGATGGGATCGCAATCAGACTGAAGGGTATTTGATCCAGTACTAGACCATGATAGGAAGTTGCTTCCTCCCCACTCTGTTCCTGTTGGCTATTGCACAGGAAGCCCATCCCTATCTCCAAGAACTGAATTCTTCTTCTTACAGATCATCAACTTGTTTGTTGCTGTCATTATGGACAACTTTGACTATCTGACACGTGACTGGTCAATTCTGGGCCCCCACCACTTGGATGAGTTTAAGAGAATCTGGGCTGAATATGATCCTGAGGCAAAGTAAGTGAGAAGGCAGCACACAGGAGCACTCCCACTGGCTCTCTGTGTTTCTGACGATCATAGCTTAAGGACAATAAAATGAAACAGAAATGCAGGAGAATTCACTTTAATAAAGAGACGTGTGGATAAACTATTAGCGTAGGCAGTGGAACAAACTTCACAGAACTCTAAAGGGCAACCAGAATGAATGAAAGGATGGAGAGACTGAACTATGAAGAGCGATTAAGTAAACTGGGCGTGTTCGCACTGGAGAGAAGAAAAGGTTGAGGGTTGATACTGCTCAGTCTTTAAGATTCTAAAGGAACTGGGTAATGTAGACCATGATAAGCTGTTTTATCATGTCCAGGACAGTAGAACCATAACAACCTGCGATTGAAGGGAGGTAAATTCAGAATAAATCTGCGGAAACACTATTTCACTGAGCGAGTTGTAAAACTGTATGGGACATGCTCCCTAGGAAGACAGCGGAAGCAGAATGTGACGATTTTTTCAAAAGCAAATGAGATAGATTTCTGTTAGGAAATAATATCTTGAAGATACAGCGTCTAGTATGGGACATGATATGTGCAAGCTATTGCCAGGATGGTGGAAGGCAAACTGGATGGACCTTGGTCTTTTTTGTCTAGAAATTCTTATTTTTTTAAGCGCTCCGGGATGCTACCCTGCGTGAAGGGCGCTATATAAAAGCAAATTGTTGTTGTTTCAAAAAGAAACTGGATAAGTTTTTTGAAATTAAAAGCATCCTGGGTTATTACAGTGATGAACTCTTTGAGACATCCTGTGATGTGAAAGGCAGTATATCAAATGTAAGGATCATCATTATTATTACTGTAACTTGTGGTTACCATGTATATGTAGGCAAATAGCAGCAAATTTGAATATAGCAAAGTCCTACAAACAGTCATGAAATGAATGACCAATTTTATTGGGGCATTGTTGGCCAGGACACCAAGAGAAACTCCCTCCCAAATAGACATTGGGATGGATCGCTGCATTAGAGGTGCAAAAACTGACATTAATACAATAGTTCAAATGGCCTACTATTATGGTGTAGATTTCTATTGTTCTATAGATATTTGCGTGTGTCATTTCCTTTCCACTGAATGCACTGAGATTGTGCAGAGAAAGCAGTTCAATTCCCAATATAGTCCTTCTCTTGATGTCCATAGTTACCCTGCTCAACACCTTGTTTCTCCTCACAGAGGGAGAATCAAGCACCTGGATGTGGTTACACTCCTCCGACGCATTCAGCCACCCTTGGGGTTCGGCAAGTTCTGCCCACATCGGGTGGCTTGTAAGGTAAGGTCCATCCTGCATTTTATAACTGGAAACATTTTATCAAAGCTGTGCTGGTACACTGTGCAGATTGGAGGATTGGCTGCACTGACTTATAATGGGGGAGATATGGCTGGGATTGGGTAGAGTAACTACCAGATTCCATTAATGTATGTTCTGCACCATGTGACCTGTAAGCTAGGGTGACAATAACAATAATAAACCTTGCAATAATAAAATTTGATATAATGCCTTATCATGTTTTGAGACTCCTCAAAGAGTTTCATAGAATATACTGTGAAGTGAATTGACTATATATTTTGTGGGTGAAATATTTTGCAAAAAAGAAACAATTGAACTCCTCACAATTGCTGATACCGGCAGTTACTGGAGAAGAATGTTGGATCGATGGCTGTGTTTCTCTGATGAGTGTATCTGGTTTAGAGTATTATTGTTCTTGTTCAGTTTGTTGCTGAACTCAAGACAGGGTACATGTGGCCCCAGCACACACAAGATATCTAATCCAGGGACTGATCCCAGAAATCGGGGACATATGGTCACCCGACTGTAAAGTAGAGCACCACATGCATGGCAGATATCCTAAGACAGAACTTAAACAGTCCATTGAGTCAGACTCACTTTGTGGGCAAAAATTACATTACCATTACCAGTCATGAAAAACGTAGCTGTGAAGGTGTTTGTCTGCACTAGGATTTGAATGGAGGATAATGGCTTCTCTGAAACATATGTCTGTGCAACTCAGGATTGTATCTATTTGGCCAATTAACCTGACATTCAGGCAGGCAGGTGGACTGAACCTTCACACTTCCATTGCGATTGGTTAGGAATTTAAGAATGTTCTGCCATTCTGTGCGACTTCAAATTTTGAGGTTAAAAATATTCCTGTAAGGTTATTCGTGAGACTAGGTGGAATTTCAGGCAGACCTCGAGCTTGCAATCACAAATTGTTTTTCAAGCCTGTGATCGTTGTGTCTTCTTCTAACAGCGTCTCGTTGCTATGAACATGCCAATGAACAGCGATGGAACTGTGACGTTTAACGCCACCCTCTTCGCATTGGTTCGCACCGCACTTAAAATCAAAACAGAAGGTGAGAGCTCACAAAAATAAAAGGATGGGATAATAATAATCCTTGCATTTGATATAGTGCTTTTCACGTCGGGAGGACGTCCCAAAGCGCTTCACAGAACACACTGTAAAGTGAATTGACTGTATATTTGTGGGCGAACGCGGCAGCCAATTGCGCACAGCAATGTCCCACAAACAGTCGTAGATTGAAAATGACCAATTTATTATTGTTTTGGTTTTGGAGGATTATTATTAGGCTCTGTGTGGAGTAAGGAAACTTGCCCAAGGTTTCGCCCTCTGCCTGGAATTGAACTCAGGTCTCTCACTTGCAAAGCGAGTGCTCTAACCACTGAGCTACAGGACTCTACAGGATAAATGTGTCCTGCAATGACAGGCTTCACCAACTACACTGGAGTTTTATTATAACTCAGTACTCGGGGAACCCGAAAATCCAGTTCTTGTATTAAAAGAAAAATGGCCAACTTCCAGGTCATCACTGACATCACTTCCTGTTTGTTGGGCATGTCCAATTTTTATCATGCATATCAGTTATAAAATAACTGACTTTCTGGTCATTGGGTCACCCTTGTTTGTCTTTTGAGCTAAGTGGCTGACATCCAGATTATTGTCAGCAAATTGCAATTCTGAACAATATTAAGTTAAAAAGAATGGAGTTCAGTCCTGTGGGTAACAGGAAACATTCAGGTGAACCTTGAGGGCCGATGGAGGTTTTAAAATTGTAATATGTAAAGCAGTCTCACTGTTTTATTTGCAACTTTCATTTTGAGATTTGCAGTTTGTGAGAATCACAGCAAGACTTGCAGAGAGTAAATCTCGAATCGCAAGTCAGCAAAGTCCAGATAAACTAAACCAGGGGAACAGGCTTGATGGGCTGGCAGACATCCTCCTTAACCTTGTGCCTTAACCTTGTTACTTTATTCTCAACACAGGTAACTTTGAAAAGTCCAATGAAGAGCTGAGAGCTATCATTAAGAAAATCTGGAAACGGACAAGCATGAAACTTCTTGATCAAGTGATTCCTCCAATTGGAGGTGAGTGGGTTATATGATAGGGCGCAGGGATAACTATAGCATGGGTGCACAGAGCAGTGTGTCGATCAGCTTGCTAAATCCACACTTGCAATAAATTGTTGAATCATTTTAACCAAATGAAGATATAGTGAATGAGAAGCATGGATGGTCTTCTAATGGAGTTACAGTGTGCCTTGCAAACCAATAGAAAACTAGGTCCATTACATTCACTGCATTATTAAAAAATATAACAATTTAGTCATTCAATCCATGACTGTTTGTTGGAAACTGCTGTGTCCAATTGGTTGATGCAATTTGCCCGCAAAACATTCAGTCAATTCACTTTACAGTATATTCTGTGAAGCGCTTTGAGATGTCTCGAAGACGTGATAAGGCGCTATATCAAATGCAAGGATTATTATTATTATCCCTGGACACGTATCCGAGACTCTCTCCAGCAGGTACCAGCAGTAGGAGACTCCTGATCTGCAGAGAAAGGAAAAGCGCTGGGCTTCCTCCTCCTGTCTGATCTCCAGTTCCCATGCTGGAAGGTCAGACAAAGGAAGAGAGCAGGTTTGGGCTTGGTTGTGATGCTCCCATAAGCATAATCAAGCTAAGACTCACTGTCCATGATGATACAAGGCAACGGAGGGTGGTAGGCTTATGAAACTATACCCCAGCATAAATTCCAGATCCCAAGATTATAAATTATTAATTATTGTTTATTATTATTTAGAAATATAACCTTATCCTTCCAGAATGCCCACCTTATCATCTTGCTTTGATAAACTATTTATTATCAGTCCTGCAAGCTGGACTCCACCATACCCTCCCCCCATACCTCAACTTTTAACCACAGCTCCACTGCCCATCCAGCACTGGTAACGGGCTTTCAGACATCCTCCAAACATGAAAGGTTCTATATAGTTTTCATTGTATTGTATCCTACTGGCTAACCTGTTTCAGCTTTACTTTCTGATATCTGTGCTGTAACCCTCATTCAACAGCTTCAGGATAGAGAGCAAACAATGATCATCAGATCATTGGCTCTCTTGTGCAATTATTGACCAGGCCCTGGGAGGCCTTTGGAGCTCTGCAATTCATACTTTGTATGAACAAGTCAACAACAAATCACATTTATGCACTGCCTTTCACATTGAGAGGACGTCCCAAGGCACTGAACAGTTAAGGGTTTGCCCCTGAGCTAGGAGTTCGTATCAAGAGAGATGGAGGATGGGTTTGTGGGGGTGGTGGAAGTGTGGCCAAAGACACAGTCAAAGAGGAAGGTCTTCAGACCGGCCATGAAGGAGCTGAAGGAGAGAGCAAGGCAGAGGTATTCTGATTCGGGGGTCGAGTTCCAGAGGGTGGGGGCATCAAAGTCAGATAGAGACTGACACAGGCAGCCCCACACATGACAATGATAGAATCATAGAATTATGCAGCACAGAAGGAGGCCATTCGGACCATTGTGTCTGTGCTGCTCTTTGAAAAGAGCTTCCAAATCAACCCCACTGCCCCACTCTCTCCCCATAGCCCTGATCAACCCCACTCCCTCACTCTCTCCCCATAGCCCTGATCAACCCCACTCCCCCGCTCTCTCCCCATAGCCCTGATCAACCCCACACCCCCGCTCTCTCCCCATAGCCCTGATCCATCCCACACCCCCGCGCTCTCCCCATAGCCCTGATCAACCCCACTCCCTCACTCTCTCCCCATAGCCCTGATCAACCCCACTCCCTCACTCTCTCCCCATAGCCCTTATCAACCCCACTCCCCCGCTCTCTCCCCATAGCCCTGCAAACTTGTCCTCCCCAAATAATTATCTACTTCTCTCTTAAAAGTTGTTATCGAATCGGTTCCCACCGGCCTTTCAGGCAATGCATTCCAAATCCCAAAACTCACTGTGTGAAAACATTACCTCACCTCCCCTCTGTTTCTTTTAAGAACTATTTTAAGTCGGTGTCCTCGGGTTACCAGCCCTCCCGCCAGTGGAATTGTTCACCCTATCGAATCCCCTCATAATATTGAAAACTTCTATTAAGTCTTAACCTTCTCTGCTCCAAGGAGAATAATTCTCGCTTCTCTACCTCTCCTGATAACTGAAGCCCCTCATTCCTGGTACCATCCTGGTCAATCTCCTTTGCTCTCTCTCCAATGCCTCGACATCCTTCCTAAAGTGTGGGGCCCAGAACTGAACACAGTCTCCAGCTGAGGCCTAACCAGTGTTTTATAAAGGTAAAAATAAGCTACAGTGCTCCAATCCTTGCTTCTCACCTGGGATGATCGACAGCTGGAGACGTAAAGCAACTAAAACCTATGCTAACATTTTCTGTGCAGACGATGAGGTGACGGTTGGCAAATTCTACGCCACCTTCCTCATCCAAGACCATTTCCGAAAGTTTAAGAAACGTCAGGAAGAATATTATGGAATTTTACCATCAAAGAAGAATCCAAATCAAAATGAAATTGAGCTTCAGGTAAGAAGCGTTTAGAATATGAAACTACATGGGCGGTAATATGTGTGGTATGTGTGTATGTGATACATGGGTGTGGTATATGGGGGTGTGGTACATGGGTGTGGCATGTGGGGGTGGGGTAGAGGTGTGGAACATGTGTGGTAGAGGATGTAATGCAATAATTGGCTGTGCCAGGTTGATGAACATAGTGGGTTTCCTCTTCGACCATGCCATTGGTCACCCTCTTCCCCTCTCCTCCCCTCTGACCCCAGCTCAGGTCTGAAATGCTATCACTGTCCAATGCTTTGGGACGTCCTCCCCACCTGAAAGACGCTATACAAATGTAATCTTGTTGTTGTTGCTTGGTGTTTAGGGAACAGTGCAGTAACTGGCATTAGTTTGGTAGCTGGTATAAAAAGATAATCGGTACCTGGGATGATAGACAGTCTGTATGTGTGGGGGGGAGATGGGGGGTGGGTGGTTATGTGTGTTTGTGTATGTTTGGGGGGGTATGTGTGTGGGGGGTGTGTGAGGGGTATGTGAGTGTGTGGGGGGATATGTGTATGCGGGTATGTGTGTATATGTGGGAGGGGTGTGTGTATGTGGGTTTGTGTGTGGGTGGTGTATGTATGTGGGTGCGTGTGGGGGTGGTGGTATGTGTGTGTATGTATGAAGGTGTGTGTGTGGGGAGGGGGTGGGTATGTGTGTATGTGTGAAGGTGTGTGTGTGTGTGGGGTGGGTATGTGTGTGTATATATGAAGGTATGTGTGGAGATGAGCAAAGGGTGTCAAGCAGGGAAAGGAAGCCCAGGGATTGTGAACTGGTGAATAGTACTAATAGCTCAAAGTCAGAATTAAAGGTGAAAAAAGATCGATGAGTTAAATGCACAAATAGAAACAAACGGGTATGATCTGGAAGCCATCACCGAGACACGGTTACAGGGAGATCAAGGGTGGGAGCTAAATATTCCAGGGTACGTGGTGTATAGGAAAGATAGGCAATGTGGTAAACGAGGGGGAGGGTGGCCCTGATAATAAGGGATGGGATAAAAAGAGGAAAGATTTTAAATCAGAAAAGCAGGAAGTAGAGTCAGTATGGGTAGAGGTACGTAACAACAAGGGGCAGAAACCTCGAGTGGGAGTATATAGACCCCCGAACAGCAGTCACAGTATCTCTCAAGGTATAAATCAGGAAATTAGCAGAGCATATAGTAAAGGAAAATCATTAATTGTGGGTGATTTTAACCTGCACAACCAAATTGGGAAAAATATGATAGAGGAAGAGGTTATAGAATGTATTAGGGATAATTATCTGGATCAGTTTGCCGAGGAGCCAACCAGGGAACAGGCAACATTAGACCTTGTTTTGTACAATGAAGCAGAGCTGATCAGCAAACTGGAAATTAAGGCTCCTCTCGGGCAACGTGATCATAATATGATGGAATTTAGCATTAAGTTAGAGAGAAAAGTAGTTAAGTCCGAAGCAAAGGTTTTAAATTTAAGTAGAGCCAACTTTGCTGGTATGAGAGAGGATTTAGCCAAAATAAACTGGGAAATTAGACTTAAGGATTTGACAGTAGACCAGCAATGGCAGACGTTTAAGGAGATAGTGCAAAATTCCCAGCGAGCACGTATTCCTTTGAGGAATAAGAATGCCACGGGAAAGGTGGCCCAACCGTGGCTAACTAGAGCAGTTAGGGAAAGTATAAAGTTAAAGGAAGAAGCCTATAAAACAGCTAAGATGAGTAGTAAACCCGAGGATTGGGAGAACTTTAGGGATCAACAAAGGAGAACCAAAAAAGTGATTAAGAGGGAGAAAATGGAATATGAGGGCAAACTAGCGAAGAACATAAAGACAGACTGTAAGAGTTTTTATAAATATATAAAGAGGAAGAGGCTGTCAAAGGTAAATGTGGGTCCGTTACAGGCAGAGACGGGGGGAATTATAGTAGGGGACAAAGACACAGCAGAGTCATTAAACAAGTACTTTGCTACTGTCTTCACCTTAGAAGACACTGAAAACCTACCAAGAATAGAGGGGAACCAAGAAGACAATGTTAGCGAGCAACTTGGAGGAATTAATATTAGTAAAGAAATGGTTTTAGGTAAATTATCAGGTCTTAAAACTGATAAATCCCTGGACCTGATGGCCTACATCCGAGGGTTTATAAAGAGGGGGCTACTGAGATAGTGGATGGTTTGTCTTTGATCTTCCAAAATTCTCTGGATTCTGGAACGGTTCCCATTGATTGGAAGATTACAAACGTGACACCACTATTTAAGAAGAGTGGGAGAGAAAAGATGGGGAACTATAGACCAGTTAGTCTGACATCAGTGGGAGGGAAAATTCTTGAGTCCTTAATTAAAGATGTCGTTATGGGATTCCTGGAAGACCATAACAAGATTAGGCAGAGTCAACATGGCTTTACAAAAGGGAAGTCACGCTTAACTAATCTTTTAGAGTTTTTTGAAGATGTATCTGCAGGTTAGATAGGGGGGAACCAGTAAATGTAGTATATTTAGATCTTAAGAAGGCATTTGACAAAGTGCCACACAAAAGGCTATTGCACAAGGTTAAGGCCCACGGGATTAATGGGAACATATTAGCATGGATTGAAGAGTGGCTAACGGGTAGAAAACAGAGAGTAGGGATAAACGGGTCATTCTCGAATTGGCAGGATGTGACTAGTGGAGTGCCACAAGGATCAGTGCTCGGGCCTCAGCTATTTACAAATTACATCAATTATCTCGACGAGGACATTGAATGTAACGTATCTAAATTCCCGGATGACACTAAACTCGGTGGGAGAGTAAGCTCTGAGGATGATGCAAAAAGATTGCAACGGGATATAGACAGGCGAGGGGAGTGGGCGAGTAGGTGGCAGATGGAATTTAATGTGGGGAAGTTATTCACCGAGGTAGAAAAAATAGAAAAACAGATTATTTTCTAGAGGGGGAGAGATTAGATAGTGTTAGTGTTCAGAGGGATTTGGGTGTCCTTGTACACCAGTCCCAAAAAGTTAGTTTGCAGGTGCAGCAGCAACTAAGAAGGCGAACGGCAGTTAGCGTTCATTGCAAAAGGTTTAGAGTACAAGAGTAGGGAAGTCTCGCTGCAACTGTATAGGGCTTTGGTGAGACCGCACCGAGAGTATTGTGTGCAGTTTTGGTCCTTATTTACAAAAGGACATACTTGCCCTCGAGGGGGTGCAGCGTAGATTCACTCGGTTAGTGCCTGGGATGAGGGGACTGACCTATGAGGAGAGGCTGAATAAACTAAGGCTGTATTCTCTATAGAGTACAGAAGAATTAGCGGAGATCTTATTGAAACATATAAGATTCTTAAAGGGCTGATAAAGTAGACACTGAGGGTCTGTTTTCCCGGTGGGAGAATCTATAACCGGGGGTCACAGTCTGAAAATTATGGGTCAGCCTTTTAGAACAGAGTTGAGGAAACACTTCTGCACTCAGAGGGCAGTGACTTTATGGAATTTATGGAATTCACTCCCCCAGAAGGCTGTAGATGTCAGTCCTTGAATCTTCAAGGCTGAGACTGATAGATTTTTAAAAAACAGAGGGATTGGGGGATATGGGGAGAGGGCAGGTAATTAGAGTAATTAGAGTTAGGTCAGAAGATCAGCCAATGGCGGGGCAGCTCGAGGGGCCGAATGGCCTACTCCTGCTCCTAATTCTTATGTCCTTATGAGCATGTGTGTGGGGTGGGGGGTGGGTATGTGTGTGTATGTGGAAAATTCTTCAAATCAATCTTGATTTGGAAGCTGGGCTTGTTTTACAATCTGCGGGTAGGACGGCTAAATGCAACGATGTTGTGATAGAGACCCAGAAACAGGTATCTCTTCGTCTCTCACCAAACCTCACGTTTAGTTGGACATGAAAGGAGTTGAAGAAGAGTGCGTGTGTTTGTGTTTGTGTGTGTGTGTGCACGTGCAGGCTGGGGAGGAGAATATGATCATAATAAACAAAAATACAGTCAGACACCATCATTGGTTATCATTGGCCTTGGTGGAGGGGGAGTGAGCGGAGGCCATGCTAGTGAAAACTATTGCTAGGGTCTGCATGTTTATGAATGTGGTAATACTGAATGTTCTCTCCATCCATAATTCTTAATATGTTGTCTCCACGTAAATGTATGCCCCCCCCCATCACACACACACACCAGCACTGCGCTGGAATGCCGGCCTACACAACATGTTTGTACTTGATTTCGAAGTCCTCACATGGGGCTTGAACAACTATCTTTTGTCTAAGAGGTGAAAGCTGCGTCAGGTCACCTCTCAACCTTTTATGTGGATGTGGAGTCCTGTAGCTCAGTGGTTAGAGCACTCGCTTTGCAAGTGAGAGACCTGGGTTCGATTCCCGGCAGAGTGAAACCTTGGGCAAGTTTCCTTACTCCACACGACTGAAAATAATCCCTCAAAAAAACAACAATAAATTGGTCATTTCAATCCACGACTGTTTGTGGGGAAACTGCTGTACACAATTGGCTGCCACATTTTGCCCACAAATATAGTCAATTCACTTTACTGTCCATTCTGTGAAGCGCTTTGAGACGTCTATATCAAATGCAAGGATTATTATTATTATTTATTGTTCTAGTGAATGCGATGATGTCTGTTCACTGTGTGCGGTTGTGAGCTCAATGATATGAATGGCCTTTCTATGCTTCACACTTTCTTACGGTCTCTGTGTTGCTGCTAGGCTGGTTTGCGCAGCATTGAAGAGGAAGCTGCCAATGAGCTTCATCGCACGATATCTGGAGAGCTGCCTGTTGAGGATGAAGAGGGAGCAATGGAAGAGGGTGGAGTGGAGGATGCCATCTTTAGAGTGGGTATCTCTCAGTCACTGATTACATGAACTACATGTTTCAGCCTAGCTCAATGGTAGTGTTCTCGCCTCTGAAACAGAAGGTTGTGGGTTCAAGCACCATGTCTGCAGTCTGTCTATGATTACAGTGGTGAGACATCACCTTGTTGACGAGTATCAACAAGATAATAATAATCCCTCCAAAAAAACCAAAAAACAATAATAAAAAAAAAATTGGGTCATTTTCAATCTACGACTGTTTGTGGGACATTGCTGTGCGCAATTGGCTGCCGCGTTCGCCCACAAATATACAGTCAATTCACTTTACAGTGTGTTCTGTGAAGCGCTTTGGGACGTCCTCCCGACGTGAAAAGCGCTATATCAAATGCAAGGATTATTATTATTATGCCGGGACTTGAACTCGTATAACCTAAGCTGACACTCCAGTGCAGAGTTAGGAGGGATGTTGCATTGTCGGAGGTGCCGTCCTTCAGATGAGATGTAAAAAGGAGGTCCTGTCTGCCCATTCAGTTGGACGTTAAAGATCCCATGGCACTATTGAACAACAATAACTTGCATTTATATGGAGCCCCTCATGCACGGTAATCTCAGAGCACTTATTCGAAAAGAGAAGGGAGTTTCTCTCTCCTAGGTACCTGGCCAACAATCCCCCAAATAAAATTGGTTGCTCACGCCATGGAGTAATTACTCTATTTCACAATTCCTACGAAGCGCTTTGAGATGTCTTTCTGACGTGATAAGGCAAGGATTATTATTAGGATCACGTACCCCTCATTTAATTCCCAGTTACTCTTTTAATTTGGTATATGGACCTCCCGCAGCAATGCTGACTGTGGCTTCACTGCGTATCTCAGCCTGTCTGTCTGTCAAACATGTCTTACAGAGGTCGGGAGGTCTGTTCGGTGTCCACATGGATCAGTTCCCAATGGACAGGAGTGGCTCCTATCAGCAGCAAATCACAAGTCAGCGGCCGTTGCAGTTCAGCATGTCGGACGGGGGAGGGGAGGAGGTGGAGGCTCCACACGAGAGGCCCAGTGATTCCCCCTTCACTCCCAGTGAATTCTTCCCCTCCGCCCCAAACTCCAACACCAACAATGCCAACAATATTGCTCTGGCCAGGTAATACTGCTCAAGGGGCAACCAGCAGGTAAAACGCTCTGACCAGGTAACCAGGTGTCCTATAGCTCTTAGAACACTCGTCTCACAAGCGAGAGACCTGGGTTTGATTCCCGGCCAGGGTGAAATCTTGGGCAAGTTTCCTCACTCCACACGCCTGATAATAATCCCTCAAGAAAACAATCGGTCACTTCATTCCACCACTGTTTGTGGGACTCTGCTGTTAGCAATTGGCTGCTGCATTTTGCCCACAAATAATAATAATAATAATAATAATCCTTGCATTTGATATAGCGCTTTTCACGTCGGGAGGACGTCCCAAAGCGCTTCACAGAACACACTGTAAAGTGAGTTGACTGTATATTTGTGGGTGAACGCGGCAGCTAATTGCGCACAGCAATGTCTTCTTCTAACAGCGTCTCGTTGCTATGAACATGCCAATGAACAGCGATGGAACTGTGACGTTTAACGCCACCCTCTTCGCATTGGTTCGCACCGCACTTAAAATCAAAACAGAAGGTGAGAGCTCACAAAAATAAAAGGATGGGATAATAATAATCCTTGCATTTGATATAGTGCTTTTCACGTCGGGAGGACGTCCCAAAGCGCTTCACAGAACACACTGTAAAGTGAATTGACTGTATATTTGTGGGCGAACGCGGCAGCCAATTGCGCACAGCAATGTCCCACAAACAGTCGTAGATTGAAAATGACCAATTTATTATTGTTTTGTTTTGGAGGGATTATTATTAGGCTCTGTGTGGAGTAAGGAAACTTGCCCGAGGTTTCGCCCTCTGCCTGGAATTGAACTCAGGTCTCTCGCTTGCAAAGCGAATGCTCTAACCACTGAGCTACAGGACTCCACAAATATACAGTCAATTCACTTTACAGCATATCCTGTGAAGCACTTTGAGACGTCGAGAAGGCGTAAAAAGCGCTATATCAAATGTAAGGATGATTATTATTGTTATAACCAACCCTCTGACCAGGTAACTCACCAAGCTCCAAAGAAGAACTTCTCTTAGTTGAAAGTGTCAGATGACATCCAGTTCAGATCGCGCCTGAAGACCTTCCACTTTGACTGTGCCTGCAGTCACCTCCTCTCACCCCTTGGCTCGGGTTGTGCTCCGCTACTGTTTAGAGCTCCGAGATGCTGCACTGCGTGATGGGTGCTGTTTAAATGCAAGTTGGCGGGCGGGCCTTCTGCCACTCTGCCCCGACCCTCTGGAACTCCATCCTGCTGTCCCTCCGCCTCATCCCCTCCCTCGCCACCATCAAGATCCATCTCAAGACCCTCCTCTTCGACTGTGTTTTCGGTCTCTCTGCTACCTCCCCTGCCCTCCACCCTCCCCCACCCCCAGCTCAGGTCCGTAACTCTGTCTGTCCAGCTGACGTCCTCCTACTGTGAAAGACGCTACACACCTGTAATTTTGTTGTTGTTGCTGTTGTTGTTATTGAAGGTTCCAGCAACCCTCCCCTTGTTCGGCACTCATTTCCACAGCTCCCACCTCCCCCCCATCCCACCTCCTCCCTATGCCTCACCGCCCCTCCACATACACACATGCCCTTCCCCCACCTTTGCTAGTTGCTTTGGCCAAATCCACAGCCCGAGAACTGAGGAACGGCTGTGACTGTGTGTTGCAGGGTTTACTATGAAGATGAATTCAGTGAGGATCTTGCAGCCCAGATGCCTGCAGGAGAAGAGGAAGGTGGATTTGTAAGTGTCAGACTGCATCCAGCACCTGGATCAGGTCAGTAACACACCTTTGTCTTTATATATATATATATATATAGACCTGTTCCGCTCTATAAATGGAATCTTGTTGTTGTTGTTGTTGTTATTTGATGAGGTAGTATTCACTTTCCCCACTGGATTATGAGAGGCAAGCCTGTCACCTATTACTGCATGTTGGTGACTCTGTGTAGTACACAGACACTGATAGTGGTCTTGGCTCTGGATCAGACAGTGGAGGGCTCAAGCCCCATATCAGGACTGAGGCGGAGGGCTGGGGGAACGCTGTAGTGGACTAACCTGAGGCCCCATCTGCCTGTTCAGACATATGTTAAAGATCCTTTTACACCACAAGAAAATGGGAGAGATTATCTCCCCATGTCCTGACCAACAATCCTCCAGACAAATACCTCAAAACGTACCTAAAGCACATCTCAAGATGTATATCTTTGACCGTGCTTTCGGTCCTCTGTTCCTCCCCCAATCCCCCCGCCCCTCGGTCTCCCCAGCTCAGGTCCAGCTTTGTCAAATGCTTTCACACACCCGTCTGTGACAAAAGACGCTGTAGATTGTATTGTATTATTCACCTATTGGCTATTTGTAGGGCCTCACTGTATAAAACATGGCCGCCATATTTGTCTTCTCAACATTTCACAGTAATTGCTGTAAAGCCCTTAGATAAGGGATATCAAACCAGAAAAAAAGACTTCTCCCTAATATCTCATTACTCACCGGTGACCTAACAATAATCTTTGCATTTGATATAGCACCTTATCACTTCGTTGAGACATCTCAAAGCACTTTACAGGATATACTGTAGATTAACCGTGTATTTTGTGGGTGAAACAAAATATTTTGTTACCTCTAACTGTTATAGCGAGGAAACAGCCCAATCAACTGAACAGACGCCTTCCCCGGAGGTCGGAGGTCAGAGAGCCTAAACGAGAGATCTCAGTGACCCCAGTCCCGGACCCCAGCCAGCAGGTAAAAGGAAGGTTATTGGAGAAGATTTCTGTCAGGAGGTGACCAGTGACCATTCACTATGTTAATACCCAGATGAAAAGTTGGGAATCAAGCCGTTTGCAGTGTCACTGACACCCACCTCATAGTCCCGTCACCTCTCTCCCTCCGTTGCCTCCATCAAGGCAAGTCTCAAGACCTTCCTCTTCGACTGCACCCTCCTACCCTCCTTTGATCCCAACTCCCGGCTTGGGTCCAAATCCCTGAATGTCCAGCGCCTTGGAACGTCCGAACGTGAAAGTCGCTGTGTAAATGTAATTTGTTGTTGTTGCTGGTTGTACTGCAATCTGTAACGAGTTGTGTATCTCATTTCTAGACAGAACAGAGTGAGCGACCACAGCCCCACAGCCATTGGCTACGTCCTACAGCAGGTAATGCCACACACTCCCTGTTAGAGCATGATCACTGCACATGACAGTTACCTACCACACACGTATCAGGCAGCTATATATTGTACACATGTGTACCGCAGCTGCACACCACACACATCTATATGGCAGCCACACACTACACACATGTACATGGCATACAAATGCTTGTGTATTGTGCACGGCTGCTTTGTAGCATGTTAACCTGTGTAAATAAATGTCTAAATAAACAGCGACTGGGTACAGCTCCCCAGTGACTAACCCCCACCCTATAGAGCAACTTCAGTAACTCCATACAGTTACACAATTAGTGAGCCTGACATGGCAGTGCTGGTGATTTTAATCATAATAATACCTGAATTTGATAAAGTGCCCTATTCATGTTGTCGAGACATCTGAAAGAGCTTCAAGTAAGATCAGGAGGCAGTTTTTCACGCAAAGGGTAATGGAAATCTGGAACTCTCTCCCAAAAGGCTGCGGATGCTGGATCAACTCACATTTTTAAGACTGAGATATATATTTGTTAGGTCAGGGTATTATTTAAGGGATATAGCGAGTTGAGGAACAGATCAGCCATGATTTTATAGCATGGCAGAACAGGCTTGAGCGGCTGAATGGTCTATTCCTGTTCCTATGTTTGTGGACAAAACGTGGCAGCCAATTGTGCACAGCGTCCCACAAAAAGTGACCACATTGTTTTACGCACTCCTCTTCCCGCTTGTGAAGCTGCTGGTTTGCCGAGGGCGAGAGCCGCTGACCGGAGACCCTCGAGACCCCCGCTTCCTGGTGGAGATGGTGGAGGTGTGCGACACAGAGTTGAGCCAATGGGAGAGTGCGGAAGCCAACCCGCGACACAGCAGCTCTGTAGCCCCATCCCAGCTGCTGGCGGCCATGTCACCGAACTGCTGCCCTGACACCCAGCCAGAGCCTGGCCGGCACATCGCCTGAGCCCCGTGTGGGGAGAGAGCTGCACAGCAGCACAGACTCGCTCCCTGATTCTCCCACCAACATGAGGGAGCGAGTGACCGCAACACAGACGATCCCCCAGAGCGCGGACATCCCCTCTCACCCCCTCCCCCTCCCCAGCGGCCGGGCTCCCTGAAGGCATTTTCGAACCCAATGTTTGTACAGTGTGATTCATTAAACTGCTCAGCGTGAAACCAGAGGGAGTGTCCTGTGCTCTCTGACCACTGCTCCGCCTGAAGAGATCTCCCAATGTCCTACAACACCGATCATAACAGAGAGTCAACCACAGCCACTGAGAGAGGGAGGAACCCACACCCAACACACACCACCGAGACTACACGCGATCAGTCACTGCACACACCACTGCTCACACTGCACACACCAGTGCTCACACTGTATACACCAGTGCCCACACTGTGTACACCAGTGCCCACACTGGGTACACCAGTGCTCACACTGCACACACCACTGCTCACACTGCACACACCAGTGCTCACACTGTATACACCAGTGCCCACACTGTGTACACCAGTGCCCACACTGCACACACCAGTGCTCACACTGCACACACCAGTGCTCACACTGTATACACCAGTGCTCACACTGTATACACCACTGCTCACACTGCATACACCACTGCTCACACTGCATACACCAGTGCCCACACTGCACACACCAGTGCTCACACTGCATACACCAGTGCTCACACTGTATACACCAGTGCTCACACTGTGTACACCAGTGCCCACACTGTGTACACCAGTGCCCACACTGGGTACACCAGTGCTCGCACTGCACACACCAGTGCCCGCACTGCGTACGCCGGTGCCCGCACTGCGTGCGCCACTGCTCTCACTGTAAACCCCAGTGCTCACACTGTGTACCCCAGTGCTCACACTGTGTACCCCAGTGCTCACACTGTGTACCCCACTGCTCACACTGTGTACCCCACTGCTCACACTGTGTACACCACTGCTCACACTGTGTACACCACTGCTCACACTGTGTGCACCACTGCTCACACTGTGTGCACCACTGCTCACACTGTGTGCACCACTGCTCACACTGTGTGCACCAGTGCTCACACTCTATACACCAGTGCTCACACTCTATACACCAGTGCTCACACTATACACCAGTGCTCACACTATACACCAGTGCTCACACTCTATACACCAGTGCTCGCACTCTATACATCAGTGCTCACACTGTATACACTAGTGCTCACACTGTATACACTAGTGCTCACACTGTATACACTAGTGCTCACACTGTATAAGGTATACACTAGTGCTCACAGCTCACACTATACACTAGTGCTCACACTATACACTAGTGCTCACAGCTCACACTATACACTAGTGCTCACAGCTCACACTATACACTAGTGCTCACACTATACACTAGTGCTCACAGCTCACTATATACACTAGTGCTCACACTGTATACACTAATCCTCACACTATACATTAGTGCTCACAGCTCACACTGTATACGCGAGTGCTCACAGCTCACACTGTATACACTAGTGCTCACACTGTATACACAAGTGCTCACACTGTATACACTATTGCTCACGCTGTATACACTGGTGCTCACGCTGTATACACTAATGCTCACTGTATGCACTAGTGCTCACAGCTCACACTGTATACACTAGTGCTGACACTGTATGCACTAGTGCTCACACTTTATACTAGTGCTCACACTATACACTAGTGCTCACACTGTATACAGTATACACTAGTGCTCACAACTCACACTGTATACACTAGTGCTCACACTGTATACACTAGTGCTCACAGCTCACACTATACACTAGTGCTCACACTATACACTAGTGCTCACACTGTATACACTAGTGCTCACACTGTATACACTAATCCTCACAGCTCACACTATACACTAGTGCGCACAACTCACACTATACACAAGTGCTCACACTGTATATACTAGTGCTCACAGCTCACATTGTATACACTAGTGCTCACACTGTATACACTAGTGCTCACACTGCATACACTAGTGCTCACAGTTCGCACTGTATACACTAGTGCTCACACTGTATACATTAGTGCTCACAGCTCACACTGTATACACTAGTGCTCACAGCTCACAATGTATACACTAGTGCGCACAGCTCACACTATACACAAGTGCTCACACTGTATACACTAGTGCTCACACTGTATACACTAGTGCTCACGCTGTATACACTAATGCTCACACTGTATACACTAGTGCTCACAGCTCACACTGTATACACTAGGGCTCAGCTCACACTCTGTACAATAGTGCTCACACTGTATACACTAATGCTCACTTCTCACACTGTATGCACAAGTGCTCACACTGTACACTAGTGCTCACGCTGTATACACTAATGCTCACACTGTATACACTAGTGCTCACAGCTCACACTGTATACACTAATGCTCACTTCTCACACTGTATCCACAAGTGCTCACACTGTATACACTAGTGCTCACACTGTATACACTAGTGCTCACACTGTATACACCAGTGATCACATTGTATGCACCAGTGCTCACATTATATACACTAGTGCTCACAGCTCACACTGTATACACTAGTGCTCACACTGTATACAATAGTGCTCACAGCTCACACTCTATACACTAGTGCTCACAGCTCACACTGTATACACTAGTGCTCACACTGTATAAACTAGTGCTCACACTATATACACTAGTGCTCACAGCTCACACTGTATGCACTAGTGCTCACATTGTATACACTAGTGCTCACACTGTATACACCAGTGATCACATTGTATGCACCAGTGCTCACATTATATACACTAGTGCTTACACTGTATACACTAATGCTCACAACTCACTCTGTATACACTAGTGCTCACAGCTCACTCTGTATACACTAGTGCTTACACTGTATACACAAGTGCTCACAGCTTACACTCTGTACATTAGTGCTCACACTGTATACACTAGTGCTTACACTGTATACTAGTGCCCACAGCTCAATATGTAGACTAGTGCTCACAGCTCACACCGTATACACTAGTGCAAACACTGTATACACAAGTGCTCACAGCTTACACTCTGTACATTAGTGCTCACACTGTATACACTAGTGCTCACACTGTATACACTGGTGCTCACAGCTCACACTGTATACACTAATGCTCACAACTCACTCTGTATACACTAGTGCTCAAAGCTCACTGTATACACTAGTGCTCACACTGTATACACTACTGCTCACATCTCACACTGTATACACTAGTGCTCACACTGTATACACTAGTGCTCACAGCTCACTCTGTATACACTAGTGCTCACACTTTATACACTAGGGCTCACAGCTCACATTGTATACTCTAGTGCTCACACTATATACTAGTGCCCACAGCTCAATATATAGACTAGTGCTCACAGCTCACACCGTATACACTAGTGCAAACACTGTATACACTGGTGCTCACAGCTCACACTGTATACACTAGTGCTCACACTGTATACACTGGTGCTCACAGCTCACACTGTATACACTAGTGCTCACACTGTATACACTAATGCTCACAACTCACTCTGTATACACTAGTGCTCACAGCTCACACCGTATACACTAGTGCAAACACTGTATACACAAGTGCTCACAGCTTACACTCTGTACATTAGTGCTCACACTGTATACACTAGTGCTCACACTGTATACACTGGTGCTCACAGCTCACACTGTATACACTAATGCTCACAACTCACTCTGTATACACTAGTGCTCAAAGCTCACTGTATACACTAGTGCTCACACTGTATACACTACTGCTCACATCTCACACTGTATACACTAGTGCTCACACTGTATACACTAGTGCTCACAGCTCACTCTGTATACACTAGTGCTCACACTTTATACACTAGGGCTCACAGCTCACATTGTATACTCTAGTGCTCACACTATATACTAGTGCCCACAGCTCAATATATAGACTAGTGCTCACAGCTCACACCGTATACACTAGTGCAAACACTGTATACACTGGTGCTCACAGCTCACACTGTATACACTAGTGCTCACACTGTATACACTGGTGCTCACAGCTCACACTGTATACACTAGTGCTCACACTGTATACACTAATGCTCACAACTCACTCTGTATACACTGGTGCTCACAGCTCACACCGTATACACTAGTGCAAACACTGTATACACAAGTGCTCACAGCTTACACTGTACATTAGTGCTCACACTGTATACACTAGTACTCACACTATACACTAGTGCTCACAGCCCACACTATATACACTAGTGCTCACAGCTCACACTGTATTACACTAGTGCTCACACTGTATACACTAGTGCTCGCAGCTCACACTGTATAGACTAGTGCTCACACTGTATACACTAGTGCTCACAGCTCACACTGTATGCACTAGTGCTCACTGTTTACGCTAGTGCTCACAGCTCACACTGTATATACTAGTGCTCACAGCTCACACTGTATACACTAGTGCTCACAATGTATACTAGTGCTCACACTATACACTAGTGCTCACACTGTTTACACAAGTGCTCACAGCTCACACTGTATACACTAGTGCTCACACTGTACACAGAAGTGCTCACAGCTCACACTGTATTACACCAGTGTTCACACTATTCACGTATTTACAGCTCACACTATGCACTAGTACTCACACTTTGTACACTCGTGTTCACAGCTCACACTGTACCCACTAGTGCTCACAGCTCACACTGTATACACTAGTGCTCACACTATGCACATGCTCACAGCTCACACTATACACTAATGCTAACATTGTGTACACTAGTGCTCACAGGTCACACTCTATACACTAGTGCTCACATCTCACACTGTATACACTAGTGCTCACACTGTAAACACTAGTGCCCACACTGTAAACATTAGTGCCCACACTGTATACACTAGTTCTCACAGCTCACACTGTATACACTAGTGCTCACAGCTCACTCTGTATACACTATTGCTCACACTGTATACACTACTGTATACACTAGTGCTCACACTGTATACACTAGTGCTCACAGCTCACACTGTATTCACTGGTGCTCACACTATACACTTGTGCTCACAGCTCACACTGTATACACTAGTGCTCACACTATACACAAGTGCTCACAGGTTACACTATACACTTGTGCTCACAGGTCACACTGTATACACGAGA